TTCTCCCATAGACTCCCATGTTAAATTCTCCAGTAGACTCCCATGTTAAGTTCTCCCATAGACTCCCATGTTAAGTTCTCCCATAGACTCCCATGTTAAATTCTCCCATAGACTCCCATGTTAAATTCTCCAGTAGACTCCCATGTTAAATTCTCCCATAGACTCCCATGTTAAATTCTCCCATAGACTCCCATGTTAAGTTCTCCCATAGACTCCCATGTTAAATTCTCCCATAGACTCCCATGTTAAGTTCTCCCATAGACTCCCATGTTCAATTCTCCCATAGACTCCCATGTTAAATTCTCCAGTAGACTCCCATGTTAAATTCTCCCTAACTCTAACCCAACCCTAACTAACCCTAACCCCTAACACTAACCCCTAACACTAACTAACCCTAACCCCTAAACCTAATCCTAACCCCTAACCATAACCCAAACCCTAACCATATCCCAAACTAACCCCTAACTCCTAACCCCCAACCCTAACCAAATTTTTACCCGCATTGGACCTTTAACGTGCTGCCGCCTGGTGGACCTGTGCAGCAGTCGTGCTGCAAGTAATTCACTACGTGGGCTACGTCTGCCATCTCGTGGACGAGTGCAGTATGGGCCAGCACAGGACACCTGCCACGTCGCCGCTGTGAGGGCTGCTCACCGGAGCATTCCCCGGGGCGTTAATCACCGACTCTGCAGCGCCCCGGAGTTCGATCCAAGCGCGGTTCGCCACATTGAACCCACGAACCCCACCGCACAGTGCCACAGGGCTCCTATCGTGTTTGTTGTTGTAACGTTCTGACCCACACAGTGTTGGTGTACGGTGCTTTTCTGCAATATTTTGCTGTCTTTTCTTGGATTTTCTGTTTGCACATCGTCACTTTAAGATGTTTTCTTGTTCATGTTTTTGTCTTTTTGTTTGTTGCGGTTGCACCAGATTCAAGAGCCGAATGGCTCACAGGGCTATACCTAATAAATGAAATTTGAAACTTGAAACTTGACTGCACATCTGTGAAAAAGAGCTTCATAGCTAATCGGATTCCTCCACTATAGATACAGTATTGATTCTTATTAACGCGCTGTGGCGCAACAGTGTGTCTCAAGGTACCTTGTCAGAACGGAGGCTTTGCCACTTGGATTGGTCACCAGGCGTGGAATGATTTAGCAACCAGAATGAATTATTATGCTCATGATAGATGCATATAATTTTAAGATTGAATACGGTTTCATCAACAGCGTTTGCTCTCCACTGTTCAAGTCATCCCGACACCACGACCATTCCTCATGGCCCTGCGATGTGACAAATATTATTATTCCTGCTTATGAACGGATTTTATGACTCCATCTCTCTTGGGTGCGTTCTGTCCTTGTGCAACTTTTGCGCCACACGGGGGCGCTGCAGCTACACCTCGTGGTGGCCACACGGGGGCGCTGCAGTTGCACCGCGTGGTGGCCACACGGGGGCGCTGCAGTTGCACCGCGTGGCCACACGGGGGCGCTGCAGTTGCACCGCGTGGCCACACGGGGGCGCTGCAGTTGCACCTCGTGGTGGCCACACGGGGGCGCTGCAGTTACACTTCGTGGTGGCCACACGGGGGCGCTGCAGTTGCACTTCGTGGTGGCCACACGGGGGCGCTGCAGTTACACCGCGTGATGGCCACACGGGGGCGCTGCAGTTGCACCGCGTGATGGCCACACGGGGGCGCTGCAGTTGCACCGCGTGGTGGCCACACGGGGGCGCTGCAGTTACACCGCGTGGTGGCCACACGGGGGCGCTGCAGTTACACCGCGTGATGGCCACACGGGGGCGCTGCTGTTACACCGCGTGGTGGCAACACGGGGGCGCTGCAGTTGCACCGCGTGGTGGCCACACGGGGGCGCTGCAGTTACACCGCGTGGTGGCAACACGGGGGCGCTGCAGTTGCACCGCGTGGTGGCCACACGGGGGCGCTGCAGTTGCACCGCGTGGTGGCCACACGGGGGCGCTGCAGCTACACCGCGTGGTGGCCACACGGGGGCGCTGCAGTTGCACCGCGTGGTGGCCACACGGGGGCGCTGCAGTTGTACCGCGTGGTGGCCACACGGGGGCGCTGCAGCTACACCGCGTGATGGCCACACGGGGGCGCTGCAGTTGCACCGCGTGGTGGCCACACGGGGGCGCTGCAGTTGCACCGCGTGATGGCCACACGGGGGCGCTGCAGCTACACCGCGTGGTGGCCACACGGGGGCGCTGCAGTTGCACCGCGTGGTGGCCACACGGGGGCGCTGCAGTTGCACCGCGTGGTGGCCACACGGGGGCGCTGCAGTTACACCGCGTGGTGGCCACACGGGGGCGCTGCTGTTACACCGCGTGGTGGCAACACGGGGGCGCTGCAGTTGCACCGCGTGGTGGCCACACGGGGGCGCTGCAGTTACACCGCGTGGTGGCAACACGGGGGCGCTGCAGTTGCACCGCGTGGTGGCCACACGGGGGCGCTGCAGTTGCACCGCGTGGTGGCCACACGGGGGCGCTGCAGGTACACCGCGTGGTGGCCACACGGGGGCGCTGCAGTTGTACCGCTTGGTGGCCACACGGGGGCGCTGCAGTTGTACCGCTTGGTGGCCACACGGGGGCGCTGCAGCTACACCGCGTGATGGCCACACGGGGGCGCTGCAGTTGCACCGCGTGGTGGCCACACGGGGGCGCTGCAGTTGCACCGCGTGATGGCCACACGGGGGCGCTGCAGCTACACCGCGTGGTGGCCACACGGGGGCGCTGCAGTTGCACCGCGTGGTGGCCACACGGGGGCGCTGCAGTTGTACCGCTTGGTGGCCACACGGGGGCGCTGCAGTTGTACCGCTTGGTGGCCACACGGGGGCGCTGCAGTTGTACCGCGTGGTGGCCACACGGGGGCGCTGCAGTTGCACCGCGTGGTGGCCACACGGGGGCGCTGCAGTTGCACCGCGTGGTGGCCACACGGGGGCGCTGCAGTTGTACCGCGTGGTGGCCACACGGGGGCGCTGCAGTACCAACTCAGGATCTAATTTCTCTACGTGGCATCGCGTCCATGGCGCGCGGCTCGAGTCGCGAGCCTGCGGCGCAGTGACGGCTTGGGTCGCGCTGTCACCAGAGACGCGAGAGGGACTCTACAGTGACGCGGTGGATGTGCCCGCCGCGTCTCATTACCCCGAAGCACCGACCCGACTTCAACACCAAACCCACACAGTGTTCATGTTGGCTAAGTTATTTAGCGGGCATCCATGTTGGTTAGGTTATTTTGCAGGCGTCCATTTTGGTTAGGTTATTTAGCGGGCTTCCATGTTGGTCAGGTTATTTAGTGGACGTCCATGTTGGTTATGTTATTTAGTGGGCCTCCATGTTGGTTAGGTTATTTAGTGGGCGTCCATGTTGGTTAGGTTATTTAGTGGGCGTCCATGTTGGTTAGGTTAATTAGTGGGCGTCCATGTTGGTCAGGTTATTTAGTGGGCGTCCATGTTGGTTAGGTTATTTAGTGGGCGTCCATGTTGGTTAGGTTAATTAGTGGGCGTCCATGTTGGTCAGGTTATTTAGCGGGCGTCCATGTTGGTCAGGTTATTTAGTGGGCGTCCATGTTGGTTAGGTTATTTAGTGGGCGTCCATGTTGGTTAGGTTAATTAGTGGGCGTCCATGTTGGTCAGGTTATTTAGTGGGCGTCAATGTTGGTTAGGTTATTTAGCGTGCGTCCATGTTGGTCAGGTTATTTAGCGGGCGTCCATGTTGGTCAGGTTATTTAGCGGGCGTCCATGTTGGTCAGGTTATTTAGTGGGCGTCCATGTTGGTTAGGTTATTTAGCGGGCGTCCATGTTGGTTAGGTTAATTAGTGGGCGTCCATGTTGGTCAGGTTATTTAGCGGGCCTCCATGTTGGTCAGGTTATTTAGCGGGCCTCCATGTTGGTCAGGTTATTTAGCGGGCGTCCATGCTGGTCAGGTTAATTAGTGGGCGTCCATGTTGGTTAGGTTATTTAGCGGGCCTCCATGTTGGTCAGGTTATTTAGCGGGCCTCCATGTTGGTCAGGTTATTTAGCGGGCCTCCATGTTGGTCAGGTTATTTAGCGGGCGTCCATGCTGGTCAGGTTAATTAGTGGGCGTCCATGTTGGTTAGGTTATTTAGCGGGCCTCCATGTTGGTCAGGTTATTTAGCGGGCCTCCATGTTGGTCAGGTTATTTAGTGGGCCTCCATGTTGGTCAGGTTATTTAGACTGCGAGGCCTCCTCCCAGGATCCAGGTCCCATTCCCACCTCCACCACCAGAGGTCGCGGGACGAGGCCACGTATCGACCCGGCCACGCGAGGCCGGAGGTCATCCCCAAAACGTTGCCGGTACGCGTTGTTATTGTTTAAGAGTTATAGTTATGGACGAATGTGTAGAGTTTGATGTTGACGGTAACCGCTGCCAAGGCAGCTTCAACCCAATAATCTGCAGTCATAGATGCGTCCACCAGAGGGCACTGCAGTGACATGAGCAGGGCCAGGCTCGAACGAATGGAGCAATGTGCTGAACTAGGGTCCCATATCTAACAGAGTGGGTCCCTGCCAATAACATCTGACAGTTCCATCAAGCGAGCCTGACTGCTGATGAGACATTGAGTATCGAAGCTTGCCCAGGCTGTTGCTTTTGTTGAATCAATGCCGCTGATGAGATGTACTCTTGGCAAATTTATCCCATTACCTCCGAGTAATCTGTCGGTATTGACCATTGGTTTTCCCAACTCCTTGTATCTGTGTTTTTATGTTGAGGATAAGGAGTTGCATTAGCAAATTCTTTCTCATCTTATCATCCACCATTCCCCACTTAACGCCGTGTGGAAGATATTAATTTATGCGCATGCATTTTAAGTTCAACCACAGTACTTAATTCTGCAATTCCTGATACAAATATTTAACTAAATGGTTAAAACCTCCCCTGCTAAGGCATTTGTTCAGTGTAAGTGCCCCTTGCTGCTGCTGCTACTTCAGCCTGGCTCAATGAGTCCCACGTGTTTCCCAGAATCCACCGCGACTCAACATGGCGGCCTCCATGTCAGCGTCAAGGGTGTTCGCCCTCACGCCGCTTCGGGTAAAAACAACAACATTTAACATGAAGTTACAACTTCAATCAGCTGTATAATTAATTACCCCTTCGCTCCTTGTTCTCTAACAAGCGGCGAGATACAAATCCCGCGAGCGAGCTGCAAGCGCGGTTTGAGAGCGGCGCGCAGCCTTGTAAGGGCCTGTGCTAGTCTAGCGCTCTAGTTCAAGCATGGAAACTTAAGTCAAAAACTTAAATTTTACACTAAATGCGCCGAGTATAAGAACCAGGCTGTGTTGTCATTTAGACGATACAAAGCGGTTGTCTGTTACAGCATTACTCGGAATGCTGTCCATTCATCTTTTGGTATATGAAGCTATTTGAAGCTAAGCAGGGCCGAGCCTTCATACATTGAAGTTATCGATGTCGAGGCCACTTCGTAAGGCAGTGCCGCGATATAAACTGTTGTATTGTACTTCTATGCTCCCGCCTTCAACCCTCCGCAATGACCCTAGCGAGGTGAAGTATGGTCGAGTAACCCATAAGACATGCACAGTCTATGGCGTCACTTTTCATCAGTGGGTTAAATGTCCTTGAATTTGTATTGTTGTGAACGGAATTTTACGGAGACACGGGATCCCGCCATGGGAATGCGATTGACTTTGAAGAGTAAGTGACAGGCGTTAATACTTTAGCGTTTTGAGTTGTGAACGTGGTCTGGATGTGCTGCGAGTCGTGTGCGTGTGAGAAGGGTTGAATTCGTGCAGCTTGGTAGCCTGGATACAGGCAGCACTGCTTACCCCCTTGACTGTACTCGTTTGCTGTACCCGTGTCAATTCCCAGGGCATTCTGTGTGCGAAAAGGCAGCCGATGGCGTTACCCGTGTGCCCACGGGGGCTACAGACAAGCGCAGTGTGTCTCAAGGTACCTTGTTAGAACGGAGGCTTTGCCACTTGAATTGGTCACCAGGCGTGGAATGATTTTAGCAACTATAATGAATTCGTATGCTCATGATGCATATAATTTTAAGATTGAATACTGTTTCATCACCAGCGTTTGCTCTCCACTCTTCAAGTCGTCCCTACACCACTACCATTCTTCATGGCCTTGCGATGTGACAAATATTTGTATTCCTGCTTATGAACGGATTTTATGACTCCATCTCTCTTGGGTGCGTTCTGTCCTTGGGGTGTTATAATTGTTGGCCATCGGCCATCATTCTTTATGACAGTCGTGTCTTGTCCAAGCACAATCTCCGCAATGGTCAATATAATGTACGAACAACGTGGGGTGTGAACACCAGTACGGGCATGGCAAAGGAGGCTGAATGTGGTACTGGTCACACCACTCGCTCAGTGACCCTTTCCGGTTCTTCAAAAGTGCCATCTAACATTGTTACCCAACAATATGGCTGTCTTATTCTTCTATATGTGTAAGAGTGTGCGTGTGTTGGAATACGTGTGCGCGATGTTTGGTCACCTTGCCCTGTAGAGCCAAGCGGGCCGGGTTCGTGTGGGGAAGGGGGATAAGCCCGTGACGTACGAGCAGGCGAACCCACCACACAAGATTGCACACCGCAAGGGATGGCTCTCCCAGCACACGGGTACGCATGCACACACTGCACGCATGAGCACGCGCAAATATACACACATACCAATGCACATGTATGTGCACATGTATGTGCATATGTATGTGCACATACGTATGTACATGAATATCACCGGATTAAAATGTTGCCCCTTATACAAGTAATTGGGTACAACAGTTCAGACACACACATGCAAACACTGACATGTGCACACCCACATGTGTACATACGCACACAAAAGCAAACTTTCCATTCTGGTGAGAGCAGGTGACCAATTGCCTCTGAGGTCCCCTAATTTTAATGTTGGAACACAGATTTCCGATTTTTAATCCAAGCAGAGTTTAAATCAGATTTTCAAGCACAACGTTTGGTCATGTTAGCCTGGTAAGAAGAACAATCATTGTGGTTTCATTCACTTTACTTGACTAGGTCCCCATCTGAGGATTAACATATTTTCATTTGGCTCCCAAACCACCAAACCACCTGTGCAGTGTTTCTCAAGGGAGAGACTGCCTGAGGGTAGCTCAGAGATCAGTGTGCTGAGCTGGTGCCATTGAGATCCTGGCTTTAAATCCAGGCAGATGAAGAGATTCAATCTGTTGTGTGGACCAGAGGCCAATGGAAGGTATCTCAAAGTTAGCTCTGTACTATCCACTTCCATAGGCCGTTTTCTAACGCAACATGTGGATATGTATGCGGCTATATACTTTGTCTCATTGCACAATGCCAATAACACAATTGGGTTAACATTTGTGGGGAAATTTACAATAAAAAGAGGGAACTGCTTTTAGCGAACGTGAATGCCATGTCCCCGTTTATCTCCACTTGTACCGCTGCGTAGCCAACTTGGACGGCGAGGTGGGGGCGGCAGAGCGCTCGATTGAGGACGTGTTCATCCGCCGCTTCATGTACGGCACATTTCACGGCTGCCTGTCGACCGAGGTGGTGGTGAAGAGGCGCGGAAATGTGCTGGTGGTGTGCGCTGTGCTGATAACGAGGCTGCCACCCATGCGCTACTACTTCCTGATCGGCTACACCGAGACGCTACTCTCATTCCTCTACAAGTGCCCCGTCAAGCTGGAAGTGCAGGCAGTCCCACAGAAGGTCGTCTACAAATACCTGTGAAGGGAGTCAACAAAGACACGAAGACACCTGCTAGAGCGGCTGTGTTGAACAAAAGTCAGTTCTCTTTGGTCACATGGCTGAGCGTAGGCCTCGGCAAGGTAAGGTAATTGTACCCTTTTTACCAGGTAAAAGGGTAAAGGTGTCGACATGCCAAGGGGTCAGGGTAAAGGGTAGGGTAAAGGGTAGGGTAAAAGGTAGGCTCGTTGCTTTTTACCTTTTACCTTACCTGCTAAAGGGTAAAAGGTAGGGTAGAGGGATTGTATTGTGGTAAGGTAAAAGGTAGGGTAAAGGTAGGCTCGTTGTTTTTACACTTTTACCTTACCTTGCCGAGGCCTAGCTGAACGTGTTTGCCACTTGGAGCAGAGGTTTGTGGTGGGACTCGTTGGCTGCCCTGGTTAATATTTCGGGTGAAGAGGGGGTGTATTACGTGCCGCCATCTTCACAGTGGATGTTAAATATCCCATGTTATTCGAGAAATGTGCTGACATTATTCCCGAAGTCACGTAGCAAAGAGCCCCCTACTGGTAGACTGTACACTTGTTGGTAGGTACTGCATTCACTTTACCCATTACAGCTGATTGACCACATCTCAAAATGCTGTACACATTGGGGGGGGTATGTTTATCCATATAACTAAGTTTTTTAGGAGTAAAATATTAACAGGCTACTAGGCAGGAGGGAATTGATACAACAGGATAGTGCAGGTGTGAATGAAAACACTTCTTAGAGGCGTGCAGTGATCATAGGCAGAGAGTAGGAAAGTCTCGTCTCAATTTCATCAGGGTGAGAGAATGGAGTGTGCTGCAAATCAGGAATTTTTGTTTTTCATAACTCAATGAGGCTTTACAAGGTAAATAACTAATTAATACTCGACCATCCAAATATGAAGTCGTACTCGCCTACACTGGAAGCCCAGAGCCAGTTGTAAAACTGTTTCCAGCAGCTGGGGTCGGTATCCCCATAGGACAACCACTGACTTTTCAGAGTGGTGTTTATTTAATCCCCACTGGACATGGGCTGAGATTTCACCAGCCACAATTTGACCTCTCAACTGTAAATCATGTGGCCTGACATGGTATCATATTTCTGTACAACTATTCTCTAATAAATTGACATCAACCTGCTTGTTTAATGAAACATTGACTGCTTTGTTGAATAAAGGGAGATGCAGCCGAAATAAACGGCTCTTAAATACACACATCGGCTGGGTCATGGGCTCAGAGGCTCAGACAATTAAGCTTTTTAATAAGGAAAGTGAGGCAACGTGATTTTCAGTAGCTTCACTGTAGCGTTACCACAGTGACCTATTGAAATCGAATGTATTCGCACTGCAGTGATAGCATAAGCACACTGACAGCACTCATGTTTGTCTTTAAAGAAGCTTCATTGTTGCTTTGCGGGAACGTGGCAGCTTGGAGAGGCCACCAGCAGCAGATTGACAACGGATGAAGATGAAGCTTCCAATCAAACTCCTCACGAACATATTTTTGGTTGCATCTTCCTTCAAGTGAAACCCAACAAAAATGCATTACTGGCTCATTCATATATTGACTTTAAGATAAAAAATAAAATTTTATAACCAACTTGACAAGTTTATGTTTGAGTTTTTTTTCATTAAAGGGTTTAAGGCTCGGTATGAACTTGCAGTGTATATGGACAAGGAAAATTAGTGCAGGGAAATACTAGAAACTGTGAAATCAGCTTCAACCACATGGCGAGGTCTAAATCAGCAAGACTCGGTTGTGCAGTGGGGATAATGAATTGTGGAATTCAATGCAAACCATAAAAAGTGTACAAATTTGAGCTCATTTATAGTGACAGATAAATAGAAAAATCAGCCGGGTCTTGAAAGGGCTGTGTAATGCACATCATTACAAATTTGTTTAATGTAGCAGGGTCAAAATACAGAGGAATCTGGACAGCGCAGTCAAGATGCGACTAGATGGAAGGTGACAAAGAATGAACAGGACAGAGTCAACCTATGAACATTTTACACAAGAGCATCGAATAAAAATCTACAAATGTTATATACAGTACATACAAGTATGTCATTGTTATATATAGAGCTATGCAACAGGAGTGAAAGGTTTACTAAAATTTCAATTGAAAATGTCTTTAGATACAAACAGCAGAAGTTCAAATTGCATATTATAATTGGAGAGTTTGTGGAAAGTGAAATAACCTATTTGAAGAGTTTAGCATTGGAAGTTTGAACTTTAATGCAGTTTTACTAAGGTGGGCTATAATATAGATCAATGTGCATTGTACATCATGTGCCGTCCCTCCACATTGCCCGAAATGAAAATAAACAAATGCATTTGTTGAAGTGTTGAAATAATCTCGATCCGTTGAGACTTCTCTGATCAAATGTTTTCTAGCAATGTGCTGCTTTGGTTGCCTTTTTCAGCTGGCAGTAGTTGCAATATAACAGATGCCGTTGTTGGATTGAGATGCCGGGCTTTAAAAAAAAAAGTATGCACAATTATATCCCACTTATACTATTGGCAGTGTCAAACGTCATAAGAAATTTCCTTGTGGAACTCCTTCAGTTGGCAGAGCATATCAAAAAGCCATGGAATTGGACACTACTCGAGTAACATAAATAGGCTTCACACATCCACTTAGATTATGCTTCTTGAATCTTGTGTGGATGAGAAATTGAACCGACATTCTTTGTAAACGGATTTCTGCAATTGAATGTTTTTTGTGCATTGTTGACAATGCCGAGACCTCCCAACTTGTTGGACTTTGGGACCTTGTTTAATCGCCGATTCAAATCAACCTGAACTTTGAGATCCAACATGGCCATTATGAACCCCAGTGCCTCTCAGCCATTGCTTTTCATCAAAAGGTTAAGAACTATATTTTATGCCAAAAAACCTCTCCGCAGCACGTATCCAAATGGGACATTTTTGGTGGCAGATAAGCCAAAGGCGTAATAGAACTTCTGCATCAAATTTATTTCATTAAAAATACAATACTCACTTTACAGCTGCGTTGTTTGTACAGCACGCGGAGCAGAGAACGCTGCTCCCATCCATCCAGACCGGTCCCTTCAAATCCACAACTCCAAGCAAACCGTCTAGTAAATAATTATACGCGAGTATCATATTCTAGCAATTAATCCGAGTAACTGTTTAATAAAAATGATTGCATATTTAACATAAAAGTGGAAATTGTAGGAACTTACGGGGGCAAAAAAACCCTGGTTGTGTTGAAACTGGATAAAAAGCACGGATTAACAAATAAGCATGCCGAGTCTTTGTTTTGTAAATGTATCCCGTGACAAAACTGATTGCAAAATTCCCAGCCGAACTCTCCCTCATGAGTCGACACACAGTTGACACCACGAAGCAGAGGCAAAATAAACGGAGCTTGTGAGAGAATGAGTCGGGAGGGTGGGGGAAAACATTGTGGTGAAATGTTAACTACCTCGCCTGCTATACACAGGTCATGGGTTCGATCCTGACGCCTGTATATTTTGAGTTTGCATGTTCTCCCCGTGGTCACGTGTTTCCCTTCACATTTAGAAACATGAGTCACGTATGTGGCAGCTATCAATTTCAACCAGCCACTTCGTTGAGCTCTACATTTCTGGCCAGGTTGATCAGTGGGCCTTATCTGGTAAAAATTTTAAAAGTTTTAAATCGTTTAACTTGTGGAAATATTACCGTCAGCTCCATTTATCGCTGAGTACTGTTATTTGAGATGTACGAAATATGAAGTATATATTAATGTAGGTGATGCCAGCGTGCCAAGCCTGCATCGCTGGAGATAATGTGCGTTCAAAATGATTTCATATACAGTACAGTTCTTGGTGAAAATGCTCCAATGGTTATTTGAGCACCAGCATTTTCCATTGACATTTAAATGTTATCCTGTATGGGCAATGTAAGAAACTTGGGGTACTTGTTACAATGTGTTTAGAAATTCACCCTCCATCCAGTGAATCAATGATCTGTGGGTCCATTCAGCAATTCCTTTTTGTCTCGTCTTTCATTTTATTAGCCTAAAGGTATATTAGCATAACATGGAGTAAATGCATATACTCTAAATCTTAAATAACTGGTTAAGACATGATTTTCTCAAAGCATGTTTCAAGTGTAAACATCTATTTAAATTGATACATTCCTGTTATGCGAATCTGTGTGATCCTGGCTCTTAAGAACATTCACCATCACTTACACATTAGGTTGCGGGGGAGGACTAACCAATTGTAACAAATAAATCAATTTGGACTCTACACAGCAAATCATGTTGACACGGCATCCGATTTCCACGAGGCTTAGATTCATTTAAACACACATTTCATCCTCCGATTGTTCATTTTCTTGGTGGGGTCGTTGTCCTTGTGTTGGGGGGTACTGGTTGCAGTGTTGTGAGCCCCGGTGAAGCTGAACGGTGTGCAACGCAGAATTCAGCGCTGTGGCTTGTTAGACGTTTTACCGGCGGCGCGATTTAGACGATGGTGAAAGTTGCACAAATGTATTTCTGGTGCCCTGTCTCGGACAGCAGATTCGGCAACGGCTGGATCGAGCTCGTACAACTACTGTATTATACATCTTTCTCTTCCAGTCACTTCTTTTACCGTTAAAAATAAACAACGCACACAGGAAGGAGAGAAAAAAAAGTAAGTACATATAATGCGGCTTAAACGCATTTGTGAATCGTACGACGAAGCTGTAGATTTGCTATCTTATCCCAGATTTGTTTTAATGATCTACACCTGTATTCACAGCAAATAGCAACCAAGTCTTAATTTATCCAAATTCAAATGTACGTTTTGGATACTTATAGCGTTCAAATTAAACAGCACACAAAGATGTTTAATTTTAAAATGCTGGTATGTTGTTTTTTAAAGTTAATTTGGAACATCTATTTTGTTTTTCAGTTTATAATGAGCACTTTCTAAACTTAAGCTTCTACACAGGCATTCATAGACACCCCAATACCGACTGCAAATCAATCAATCTACTGACACGTTAAAGCAACATGGCTTTACTTGACATCAAAATTCAAATTCTCTTGAGCATAATTTGCAGAAAGTGACTTTGTTCCCCTTCATAATAAGTCTCATCCAAATCTGTTCCTGTACAAAACTACATCACATACATTCTATGCCGTTGGTTTGAACAGAAACCAGTTATAGATTTAAGAACAAAGACCTCAAAGTTTTAGTTATTTATCTAGATCACTCCCCAACACAATTCCATTAAATTCCAACCCCAGCAAGGCTGACAAATTTCCACAAATTGTAATGTCCATGATGACCTGTGTTCAGAACAATCATTACTCTGAAAGCCAGGCCATTTAAAAAACATTTTTAACTTGGACAGGGTGGCTTTCAGTGCCACAGATGCAACCATCGAGTTACAGGTTCTGGTTTTCTCAGTGCACTGTGCTGGTAGTGCATGAGAAAGCCCATTTAGAGGGGACTTGTTTTCTGTAGGCCTCCGAACACTGGGATGCCCACCACCTGCACTTTGCAGTAGGAAGCGTGTTTCATCACTGCACAGCAGCGGAGCTAACGCATTGAGGTGCAGTAGCAGCACACAGCAGCCAAGCCAGGCCACACTCGATCGAGGCTGCAAACGCAACCATTCAAATCCAATGCACAAAACTATGGTAGCAAAAGTGGTCTATGCAGGAATGTGAGGAATCTTATCAGATACATGTTAGTTCGAGATTATCAGCAACCAATCAAGAGGCAATTGCCTTTGCCTCTTGAATAATGACTAAAATGTGGTGTAGTGTGGGGCTTGGAAGCCAAAAAACTACAGCACACAGCAGGGAAACAAGCATCCAGCTGCAAATACAGATGGCGTGTGCCTCGATGTGTTGAGAATACTGGGCCCATGATTTAATCTGACTCGTGAAGGAGGCTGTACTTGAAATCCTTTGGCTATGGCAAAGGACACACATGGCATTGTGTGCCTTTGCACCTGGGCCAAGGCAATATCCACTCAGACCTAACATTAAGACCCAGGCTAACATTGATAAAATATAACACGGCAAAATGTAAATTATAACGGTAGCACAGCTTGGAATCCAGAACCAATGCAGGTCAGATTCTACGAAAAAAAGTCGCAAATTAAGCTACGATTATGTACTGTGACTATTGCTACTAATCATAATGTTAATAATAAACAACTTGGATTTGTGGCCGTTTCCACAAGGCAAGGTGGTCTGTCAACTAAGGCAGCAAGTTCCCAAGCAGTCTGTAGGGTCCCTGTGCCTACCTTCCACAAGAGGAGCTCTTTCAAACGTGTGCGCATACGCATGTACGCGCAGAAATATACGATTATGGTATAAGAGTTTGAGAACTCTTAAAAGCGCAATGTCGCGAGGTCCTAGGAAAACGAAAAGTGACAATTTATTGCGCAAAAGACAAACAACAATGGGCGTTGCTCTGAGACTGAAACCGGCCACTAACGAGAAGCTTGAATTGGAACGAGACAAAAAAACAGGCGAGGTGTGCCATTTTGCGTTTTCGTTTTTTTAAAGTGTCAAAACAACGGGGTTCTCTCCTCTCTCATTCCCTGCCCTCCCCCATCTTCACCTCCTCCCTCCGCCCCTCTCTTCCCCTCCCGGTGGCAGGTGGGCGATGGGAGTTCCAGCCACATGAGGAGTTGGCGCCGTCTAACTCAGCAGCTGGCGAATCTCCTTGTGCATGTGGCACAGGAAGTCGACGTAGGTGGCGCCACCATTCAGGGACTTGTCTTCCACCAGCAGGTGCTTGAAGAGCAGCTCCATCTTGTCGCGCTGCTTCACGACCATCAGCTGCAGTGAACGGCGATTTGGTGAGGGGGGAAACGGCAGGGGAGGAGGCCGAGGAACGGCCATTGGCAATGCAACATTAAGTATCATTCGTACCCCATTTCAAATTGAGCATTTTAAGAAGAATTGCATTTTGTAGGGCGTTTAAATGCCTCGGCAACTCAAAGCGCCTTGCATCACGCGTCTCGTAACAATTCCAATGCCCTGGCTGCAGTCGAGCCAAGGGGACCCCCCAGTGGCATATGTCTCTGTGCAGCACAAGTTGGACGCAGCACCGGCCTGCAAAGTCTGCCAGTAGAGCAGTGACATTGCTTCGTGGCATTTCCAAATTAAGTAATTTGGGAGTAACTAATCAACATTTTCAGACACTTTCCAATGAGCACATGGATTGCCTTAGCAAGCAGTGGGCCATTTAAAAATGCAGTGAGGGGTGCCCGTGATGCCGCTTGAGGGCACGGTGTCTGCCCGAGTTATCATGCGGCTGTGATTTAAATTCATATTTTTTTACAAATATTATCAAAACCGTCAACAATTAAGAGTATCTCGCTTCTGAACAAACACACCCCTTGAGGTTATAAAACAAGAGCACAAAAATAAAGTGAGCACTCACTTTCATGTATCGTGGTCTCTCGGCTCTGATGGAGTCGATCATGTCACGAACTCGCTTGTTGAATGGGTTATCCAGTACCGGCAACATGGTCTGAAACAGACCAATTTGCGATCATCACCAAAACTCATTAACATCTGCTGCACAATATTCATTATCGTCAACATGACTATCGTATCTGATCCGTCTTGAGTTTTAGTCCGATCACCAAGTCTTCTCTGTACACTCAGAAATCTGAATGTAAGAGAGCTGGCATTGTAAAGGTCGGCAGAGTCCTTTTGAAAATGTATCCTGAAACTGAAGGTTTTTGCACCACTTCACACATTTTCTTAGGTTTTTTCGGTAAAGTCACGTAGGTAAAACATCTAAATTAATAAAAATAAAATAAAACAAAAATCACGACGTTTCGGAGGCAACACAAGTCTCCGTCATCGAAACGTCGTGATTTTTGTTTTATTTTATTTTTATTAATTTTGATGTTTTACCTACATGACTTTACCGAAAAAACCTAAGAATATGAATCCTTGCAGTCACGAAAGCTTCAAATCTAGAATTAATGCACTTCACACATTACTTTGTCTATCATAAAGGACAACCCACCACCTCAACATGACCATCTCACCATCGGTATTCACAATGTTGCAATCACCAACTCACACAGTTAATGCTCACCATCACATAATGTCCGCACTAACCACTTCACACACTTGAAAACTCATTTCTTAAGAACTGCTTTTTGTGTGTAGTTTGTTGTCCTTTCCCCACACCTCCAATTATCACAGTTGGCTACGTAGTGTGAAGTTCCAAATATAAACATTTCCAATCACTCACCTAACTGCCTTGTACTCGGGAGGACATGCACTCTCCACATCACCCTCGCACTGTCTAAGACTGAACTAAACTATTTTACCAGGTAAGGCCCACCGAGCTTGTTAGCTCATTTTCAGAAGCGACCTGGCCACAAATGATAGCTCAACGAAATGGGTTATGTGGAAATGCATAGTAGCTATATACTCTAAATGCATGTTTTTAAATCTGGAGGGAAAAACCGGAGTACCCGGAGAAAAATCCACACGACCACGGGGAGAACATGCAAGCTCTAAATATACAGCAGGCGTCAGGGTCAGGATGAAACCCATGACCTGTAAACCAGGCGAGGCATATAACATTTAGCCATCGAGGACACCATTCACTCCATCTGAACAATCTCGAGGGTCGCCGCCTCGCAGGTCGCACTCACCATCTCGCCGTCGATTTGGCCAAACGTGTCGACGTTGAACAGAGCCTTCAGGAGATCGTGCGACACGGAGATGCCCACCCACAGGAAGAGGCTGAGGCCATTCTCCAGAATATAGAGGCCGCCGTCCTGTAGGCGCTCCTCCGAGCAGCGCACGCTCACGGGCAGCTCCTCGCTCGCCACGTCCAGCTTGTGCTGTGGAAGATGGACAAAGATAACCATCTCCCGTTATAGCTTGTAACATTCAGACGCTGTCGCCTCGACAGACCTCGTTTCACCTGAGGACGGATACTTGCGTTGTGGCCGAAACGTCGTGAGAATTATTTTATTATTTTTATTATTTTATTACTTCCCTTCTACGTGACGAAAGAACCAAGAAGATGAATCCCTGCAGTCACGAAAGCTTTAAATCGAAATTGTAACAGACTGTTGGGGCAAGTGCTGTTAGTGAGCACCTATGAAGGCCGGCATGGCACACGAGGAGGTCAGTGGCCAACACCACGCTCGGCTGCCTTTATCTACCCCGTAGCAATAGTTACACACCACCAGGTATTCATTTGAGGCTGAGTCGACCTAGGGGATGCCCAGGACCAGTTCAGATATTCGTCACTGGTGTTGGCCGTGTGCGGGAATCGAACCCGGGTCGAAAGGTTCGTAGTGCAGTGCGCGAACCGCTGCACCACCACTCCCCGCACGCGCACGCACGCACCAGTGGCAACAGCCGGGGGTAGAAGAAAGCAGCTGACTGGGTGTTGTCAGCACTCAGCAGCAGCTGTTGCAGGTAGGCGCGGTCGTCGGTGGCGATGTCAGCGCCGCCCAGCAGCACCTCACACTTGAGGACGCAGTTCAGGTACACGGGCAGCAGCTTCATGCACTCGGGGAGAATCAGCTGTGGCGTGGGGAAGAGAGAGGCAGGGCAAGGTTGAGTAAGTGGGAGTCATGCCACTCACATGGCCCTGGGTGTTGCAGTGGGTGTGCGCATCTGTGTGCAACAAGGATAGGGAGTGCTGGTGTGGTGGTTCATGCATTGAGCTATGAACCTGGCAACTTGAGTTTGGTTCCTGGCCAAGGCTAATGTCATGGCAAGTGGCATTAGAACGTATTTCCACTTTGTCGACTCAACCTTACACATTCCTGCGGAGGGAGCTGATAGGAACGTTGGGTTGCTCGTTCAATGGCCAGGCTCAACGGCGGCGTGGTGTATTCCGCAAATATGCCCGACTGTGAGGGCGGGCACAAGCCGGCGTGAGTAGGTTAAACGTTGAGTTTTATAAGGGCACCTCGGGGTGACCAGCCCCTCCCCACCCAGCCCCACCCCTCCCACCCCCCACCCAGCCCCTCCCCACCCTCCCCACCCAGCCCCTCCCTGCACGACGGACGGACACAATAATCCCGTGGGCTGGTGTAACCAGGAGGTTCCTACCAGTATGAGTACATGATGCTGTGTGTAAACATCAGTATTGGACAGACAGGTTACCACTGGCGAAACGTCGTACTCAGATTGTAGATGTTGTGGATTTGCTCTACAACACACCGGCGTGCTGTACTAGTAACGAATTGGCATGTTCGATTTACGTGACAAACCTTACTAATTGGCTGTGGAGTGGTGGTGGGTTTAACGATACATTTATATTTATGAGATTTAACCCAAAAAAACCTGTATTATGAAACGTGTTGAAGGCTGCGATTAGGTCAAGGAGGAGGAGAACACTTGGAGAACGATCAATGTACAAGCTGTTAGTTGTTTTGGGCTGTGTCTACCTTTAAGCGACGCTTGAGTAACAAACGGGCAGTGGGCACATACCTGGCCAGCGGACGAGGGGCTGGCGCAGTTCTTGCGGTAGCACGACAGGACCTGGGCGCACTGGTTCACCAGGCTCTCACGCACCGTCTTGGTTGGGTTATGGGCCACGGCACGGAATGCTGGGTGGGACAAGAGTGGCACGTGCCGTGTTGGTTGGGCGACGCGCATCACTCAAAGCAGTGGTAAAGATGATTATATGGGCAGCCCACAACGCAACACGTGCGTGAAAGCAAAAGGATTCGTATGGCGTGAAAAAGCAAATGTCACACAAGGCGCCACATTATGTGCGTTTTAGTGTATTATCAGTTTATATGCGTTAGCACGCATGTATACACATGTGTGCGAATATCAGGATGTGTGTTTACGTGTGACTGTGTGCGTATTAGTGCGGGGATGGTACTGGGCATGCCACCCTCCTCGTGCACCATGCCAGCCCTTAATAGATAGGTGCTCGCTAAGGGCACTTGCTCCAATTGTCTGCGTAGGCTACACGGAGGTCTTTGTACAAGTGCATACATACAAGTTCAAGTACACATTTGTCTATAAATTTAAGGGAGTATGTGTACATGTGTACGTGTGTGTATGCATGCGTCAGCAAGGGCTCACTGGCTTTGGCGAAGTAGTTGATCATGGAGTCGGTCTCACAGTTGCGGTACATGTCCGACATCTGGTTGCAGCAGTTGAGGGCGAGGTTGTGCACGCGCAGGCGCCGCTGCCCACTTACACTCGTATAGAGCAGTGCGCACTGCCACACACACACACACAGTTGAGTAAGTATAGTCCCATGGGATGTTGGCTACCAACAACAAGGCAACTCCTATGACTAATTGGGAATGGGACGCAAGCGTAGGATTGATCACCCTGTCGCTGGCCGCCTTTGGGGAGGGTGTATAGTATGAAAGGCCGAAACACCCTAGGAACCAAAGGGTCACTACTGACGATGCGCTCCCCAAATTTCACCAGGCTCACTGTTCATGAACTCTTGGAAGTGCTTGCACAAAGGATAGTAACATCTCATCCTGTGTTCTTTGGAATCTTAGTAAGCACCTATTAAAGGCAAGGCAGTTCAAGAGAGAGTGGTGTGGCCAACACTTGTCTTCCCAGTGCCGATGTTTACGCACTGCACCAGGCCAAGACTTAATTTATGCCTGAGTCGATCTAAGTGAAGCACAGGACAGGATCAAACAAGAACTGAAAGATACATCCTTAGCTGAAAATCAACCCCATATTGATAGGTTTGTAGTGCAGTTTGCTCAAGACTGCCACACACACGCACATCCAGCCAACCAATTAATCAGCTTACCAAATGCCAAACCAGACAGCCAGGCAACTAGCCAACCAAAACCAAACAAACAAACAAGCAATTGACAAACTGACCGATCACGTGCCCAAACCACAGGTGAAAGGAGTCACCTGTAGGAAGGCACCCGTCTCCTCGTTCAGCTTATCGTCATGCTTGATCTCCACCGTCACCGCCTTGTCGCAGTCGATAGCCGCGAGTTCCACGTCCGTCGTGTTGCTCATGTAGATCGCTCCAAAGAAATCCGTTGCTCGCACACCTGTGAGCGTTTGTTACACAACGCAGCAGAAGTGTGACCCACCAACCATCCGTGTTGTGGTAAGCCAGCTAGAACCACTGAGATCCTGGGCTCAAATCTAGGCCTGTGATTAAACTGGGTTTTCACCACCTAGCCAGTTAACTGGAACATGTACATCAAGCCCTCAAGATGAATGGATATTCAGACTACACAATCCGTAAAGCTATCACCCCAACCGTTGGGAAAGAACCATCTGAGGAACCAATCAAAACCATCACCTTGCCATACATAGCAGGTCACCAAAAAGATTTCCAAAATCATGAGCCAACAAGATCCAGGTTCGATTCAACACAGTACATATACTTCGTGATCTGATCCCATCTGTGAAGGATATGATCCCCGACATGCAATACCCCGGCGTCTACAAACTCAGCTGTGTCTGCGGCAGTAGTTACATTAGGGAAACTAAGCGACATGTCTCAGACTGTGTTCGTGAACATAAGGCAGATCTAAAACAAAGTAGGACCAATACCTCAACCATTGCTGATCATTGTTTTAATGCTGTGGGCACACACGAAATTGATCTTTCCAAGACGAAAGTACTCTGCAAACCCACTGGCTATCAGCAAAGATTCGTTCATGAAGCCATCCAGATATATAAACACAGACACAATTCTAGATTTGAAGCTTTCGTGACTGCAAGGATTCATATTCTTAGGTTTTTTCGGTAAAGTCACGTAGGTAAAACATCAAAATTAATGGACCATCTTATCTGACAGGCACTATTTTACTTTACTTTACCGAGTGTTAACATTCCCAGTTATTTTTTAACAGTACTCTCTTCATTGTTCAGCCAGCATTGGTATAAACATGGGCATTTTCGTTCTTTTGTCTTTCATGTGTATCAGGCCTCCCCTCCCCCTCTCTGCCCAATGTGTTGAGCACTCCGTGCTGTCTTTGAGCCCCGCCCCCCTCCCTCCCGATACGTTTCCATTCATTGGCTACCACATTCTGATGAGCCCCCCCCCTCTCCTCCCCCCTTCAACTTGCTTATAAGGGATTACATCTTGAATCATTGCCTCACTTGATGCAGCTAATTCGGCTGTGACGGTCCAACCTGATGACGGAGACTTGTGTTGCCTCCGAAACGTCGTGATTTTTGTTTTATTTTATTTTCATTAATTTTGATGTTTTACCTACGTGACTTTACCGAAAAAACCTAAGAATACAGACACAATATCAACCGAGAAGATAGGTACAAACTGAGCAATCATTGGAAGGACGTTATTAACCAGGTGAAGTCATAACTGGCTGTGATGTTTAGTAGTTATTTTCGACTCTCTGGTGTTACATTAACAGGTTAAATGTTTTTACATTAACAGGTTAAATATCTCACTAACACAGCCACCGTTGCTCGTTTTCCTTGATGTGGCAGCGGCTCTACGATCTTACATTGGACATGCAAATTTCATCACTAGCCCCACCCACTTCGCTCATGACCCTTGGGCTACACCCATCTAAAACGTTTGTAACATCCTGCCTCAGCAGCTCTCTCGCTATTTTTTTCACCTGATGACGATTGCTTGTGTTGCGATCGAAACGTCGTGATATTTTTATTATTTTTTCTATCTACGTGGCTTTACCGAAAGACCCAAAGAATATGGGTTTTCATGTTTAGAGAGTTGATGATCTCAGCCCAGTCACCAATGACTGAACAAACAACATTATCACAATACATTTGGTCCTGTACTTCATTTGGCTAAATTGTAGCTCTGAGAATTAAATATTTCAGGTGGACTGTCATGTGACAAATATCACACTCAATGACAGAGGATGAGAAAGTACTGCCTTCCTGCCTTGTGCACCAGAGGTCACTTGAAGGGATTTCAAAGGTAGCTCTGCAGTATCCGTTTTGTGTTGCACTCCTCTGTCAGAGTTCCGGCTTGACACCTTGTCTCGGGACAAGATGCCAAGAGTGCAATTTGGAATAAAACGGAACGAAAACACAACCATACTTCAAAACAGCTGGAAGGTGAGCAATATAACCATGAGCATTTTAGAAAGGTAGAAGAGATAGTGCGGCTCTCAGGGCCATACCTGTGCTGGTTCTGACACGCATCACTGCATCGAAGCCGATGGTTTTCTGCACGTCCCTGCGCAGGTCGTTGAGGAAACGTTCACCGTCCGAATTCGACTGAAACAAGAGCACAGCTTTAGTAACAAACACAAGCCACGTCAGCAGCACACAACCACAACCATCACCAGGATTATCATCGACACTTACAGTCGTGATGATGGTGCTGTGGTCAGTGCTCAAAAATGCCCTGTGGGATGCATACATTGTACGAAATCTAAACTTCCTTGTGTGGTGAGAAAGGGATGCTAGACAATGATTCGGTAAAAAGGGCAGATAGGAGATTTTAGTGCAGAAAACCAATTAAAATAGATTAGTTAGCATAATTCAGCTTGATAACCTGGTTTAATTCTCAGTAGCTGCCTAGATTTGAACTCTGAACCTCTCAGTGCTATGGCATGGCCATTATAAGTCCCTTGATCCACTCGGATTCCGCAGGTGGCACTGGAGTAGAATTCCTGATTCAAAAATTTAAAGGTCACGGAGTTAAAATCCTAGTCAGGGATATGACTCAACCCATCATCCCTCTGAGGTCAATAAAAGAGACCACTTTGTCAGGTTAATAATGGACATCATGTACAGGGACTTATCCCTGCCATTATACTACGAAGGTTATACCGTTAGACATGGGAAGCACTTCTCAACACGAGTTTGAGCAGGGAAATACATCTACAGTACTTTGGCTTTTGAGCCTCCGAGCCATTTCATAGCAGGACCAACAATGATAATAACAGCGCTGGAAATGATGGGCATTAGTAGTGGTAGTTTACGATGGTGTAGAAAAAAGAACCTCCACACAATCCCGCTCCGTGAAGTGGGTGTGCCTGCTTTTGACTGGTACTGCACCCAGGGACTTGCCATCTACCTGGAAGTAGTTGTACTTATAAATGGAGCCCCCAGTCTGCAGTGTAACCAGCCCCAGTGTGGCCACATCCACAAACTGGTTGGGGAAGAGGAAGAGGTCAACACAGCATCCAGCTGCCACGCAGTCCTTGGCCAGCGAGTGGTAGACGTTGCTCTGCGCCTGGAACAGCGTCTGGGAGGAGGGAGGGGGAAATCAGCCACATGTACAAACGATGCTGTGGTCGCATGCAATCACACTGCATCCGTCCCTCATTTGTCATCCCCGCCACTTCTGAAAAACTAAAGTTTGCCGACCTTTAGTAATCGTGAGTGTTTGTGGGAGATTCAGGTAACTGGAATGGAATATCCAGCCAGGAAGTGCTTTGGTCCAGCGAGTGCTCAAATCACAATAGAAAGGTTGTGAGTTTTAATTTTGATTTTGAAACGACTCTACCTATCATTCATACGATGGATTTAACCATGCGTAAAGTTAACAATGGTCATCCACCGTCTCCCCTTGACATCATGGCAGGCAGAGGCCTACTGTTTCCTAATCTGCAGGCTCTGCAGGCAGATGACATTTTGTAAATCCTTCTGCATTATTAATGATGTTTCACTATTACACGACATTTAATTGGTAACAATAGTGCATCACTGTTTTTGCAATTTAATACGTCTTTGAATTATTAATGCTGCATTAGTGTCAATCAAGCATCACTATTGTCAAGCAGGATGCAATAACTTGTTAATTTAATGTAAAATGAAATCATAACAAACAAGAAAATGACAGCCCTCTGTTAATCAATGGTTGTATGAAGGCCTCCCTATGATGTGTCATGGAGGTTGTCTGACCATACTTCACCATGTTGGTCAGTGCGGGCTGGCGATTCAGATATCAATCGTCACCGATTTAAGCTGTGGCTGGCAATCTAACTCCGGTGGCTGGGTTCTAGTATCGTGCGCTAACTACTGTACCACCACGGCCCTGTATTATTAACAAATTTGATTAAAATTATGTTATCAATGCAACAAGCGGCCATGTTCAAGTTTATTTTATTTAACCAGGTGATAATTCAAAGACCCCAGGATACTGTCATTTGCAAGTGATCCTGGTGTTTAATACACCGGGCATGAACTCCAAAAACTCCGTACCTTCTCTTTGTCGGTGTTCACGAGCTTGCGGTCATCACGATTCTTGAGTTTGCCGGGCGCCTCGGCAATTGGCAGTGAAGTGTGGAAAACAAACAGCTTTCCCGCGCACTCTGCTGCCTGCCAACGCGAGGGACGACAAAGACGCATGCGTCATTAGCAAAGGACCCGCGGTCATTATTATATAGTGCAATAAAGCAGTAAAATACATAAAAACGTTAGATTCTCCGTACATGGACAGATATGCATACAAAGATGAATTATTGACGATTCATGCGTAGTTATATGTAAATTACAAATGTACCAAACAAATAAAGTTTTCAATCAGTGCATATTTATCGGCTATATGGATCAAAAATGTGGACATCAGCAAAGAAAAAGGAGCAGATGTTGAAAAGTGTGTAGAGAAGCATGGAGAGATGTGCACTTGAAGAGCAAGAGACATTGCATTGACTGCTAGGAAAGTAAGTGGGTTTTGGCAGAACACATCACTGGAAGGGTTCATCGCCGGTGCACAAAACTAGTGAGGGTAGGACAAAAAAAAACAAATCCGGGTGTCTTGGAACTCGTAATGCATTCGGAGCCTTGGGCAGGTCAAGGGAGAAGCTGCCACCTGTCGTTTACCTTGAGCGACTCCATGCCAGCCTGGATGACGGGCACAAACACCGTCTCTGTCTCCCGCGTATCGGCAAACATCTCTGGAATCTGCTCCAGGAGGCTGCGACGCAAGCACAACGGATGCACCAAGACACGGGCACACGGGACACAGAGGTAGGACATATGAGCCTCTGCTTTACGCTAGACCTGGTTTTATAAGGCAGCCGTCACCACGTTCCTTTACACATATTTGGTATTATGTTCCATGCTAACCCCAATATCAAACCGAAACCCAACTCCAAAGCAGACCCTAACCTTGAACTCAAATCTTGACCCCAACCTCAACCCCAAATCCAACCTAACCTGGACCCCAACACTGACCCTAACTTAACGCTTGACTCTAACCACCAATCTAAACTGCTGGATGCTCACACTAGCTTTCAACCCAACCAAAACCCTTGATCCTCAACTCTAACCCCAATGTTAATCCTGACTCTAACCTCAACCCCAACTACAAACACAAACCTTAACCTAACCATAGCTATATTCTTAGGTTTTTTCGGTAAAGTCACGTAGGTAAAACATCAAAATTAATAAAAATAAAATAAAGATCACGACGTTTCGGAGGCAACACAAGTCTCCCTCATCAGGTGGGACCGTCACAGCCAGATTAGCTGCATCAAGTGAGGCAAGGATTCAAGATGTAATCCCTTAAAAGCGAGTTGAGGGGGGAGGGGGGGGAGCTCATCAGAATGTGGTAGCCAATGAATGGAACGTATCACATTCTGATGAGCTCCCCCCCCCCCTCTCCTCCCCCCTCAACTCGCTTTTAAGGGATTACATCTTGAATCATTGCCTCACTTGATGCAGCTAATCCGGCTGTGACGGTCCCACCTGATGACGGAGACTTGTGTTGCCTCCGAAACGTCGTGATCTTTATTTTATTTTAATTAATTTTGATGTTTTACCTACGTGACTTTACCGAAAAAACCTTAGAATATGAATCCTTGCAGTCACGAAAGCTTCAAATCTAGAACTAACCATAGCTCCCGACCCTGACCCTCACCTCTCGATGACAGGCCGCGACTCGACGGCGTTGACAAGGAAGCCGTCAAGCAGCGGAACGAACACGTCAGCCACATCGGACACCACCATCATCTGCGGCTGGGCGAGCGACGCTTTCAGGTTGTAGAAGTGCAGCGTCTTGTTGTAGGTGACAAACCCCACGCGCAGTGCCGACTGCTCCATCTGGCCCTCCCTGCCGCACACATCCAGACGACACAGCGAGCGTTTATTAATGCCAGGTGACAGACCGCTGAGACTGCAAGCGTATATCTAAAGGACGACCGCAGTTTGGAGTATAAATGTGAAATAACTAACGATTATGTAAATGTTAAATTATGAAAATGACACTTATCTATGACAAGAGCAAGTCACTTCAACATGGTATCACTCGGCATTTAACAATTAATTCCTGCCTCTGCCTCCATACATCGATTCTATGAATGACCACGAGATCTGGTGTCACGATTCGATTCATGAATTGAGGTCTCCTTTTTGCCATATGCTTTTTAATATTTCACAATTGACTTCTCTCAAAAGTGGTACAGGGGGTCCCCAATATGTCTTCTTGATATACGTTGTTTCGTACTCACGTCGCTGACTTTTTGAGGAACCCAATGTAAAATTTCCCCACACACACACATCGCTACGTGGCTTTTGCCTCAGTTCAGCCAAGTCGAAAACGTCCTGTACAACTCGTATTTTGAGAATGCGCCTTGATCTTCTCAGTCCCATTGTGTTCTCTCACAAAATATCATGGCAACCCTTCAACAATGCGTAGCAAGCGTAGTGCTAGTGACAGTGCAGGTGCAGGTAGTTATCGTAAGAAAAAGCGCAATATTATTAGGCTCTATGTTAAACTGGAAGTGATAAAGTGTAGTAGGAAAGGTGGTTGACGTTTGGCACTATTTTAATCTTCCTCAAACGAGTACAATAGTGAAGAATGCTGACGAAACAGAAATTAAAGCAAAGCATGCTTTAAAGCATTCGGAGGTTAAAATTACATGGCAAAGTGTTATCGTGGAAACAAAGGAAAGATTGCTGCCGTTATGGATCGAGTATCTGCACAACAAGCCGATCAGCTTCGCCCTCAATCAGTTGAGAGAGGAAAAAGCAGCGAAATAGAAACCATTCAGGCTGCCCGTGGATGATTTTACAGATTTCAGGCATGATCAAGTTTCAAAAACGTAAAAATACAGCGAGTCTGCCAGTGCCGATGCAGATGCTGCAGAAACATTTCCATAAAAACGTGACAAAATCATTGAAGGTGGGTATGACCCTAGAAAGGTTTTTTTTATCTTCTCCCAACAACAATCAAGCACAACTCATCCACTCCTCAAGGTAAGATCAAAAATTTCATAGGTTAAGGTAAAATCTTTTTTAAATGCTGTTTAAGATTGTGCTTTTTTACACAAACATTTTATTTGTTCGATTCATTGCTTTAAAAACGTCACAAATACATTTTCTATAAAAAAATGAAAACTTTTAAAGAGTATAGGGCTGCTTCGAAATGCTCAAAATAGTTTTCATTTAAGTGTTTGAGAAGTATAAATGCTGTTTAAAGGTTCTTGAACTCAGAATTGGTTGTACACATTGGGTCTATGTACAGTCCAGGTACTGTACGTGTACTGTACATGTGCAGTACACGTACAGTATCTGTTTTTCTGTACATGTGCAGTGATACAGCGCCGACTGCTGTCCAGTAGCGGCAACTGCGGTGGACAGTTCGCGCACACGCCGTCGACCATATACACTGTGTGTGTGCCGGCAGGGCGGAGGAACTGGGGCAAGGGTCACTGAAGACCTCATCGGGAAGCCCCTGGAACCCGCTAGTGGGTTCGAGAAGGGAGGCGCGGCCAGGGCAGAGCCAGGCCGCACCGAGTAGAATAAAAGCAGCGGAGAGCACGAGCTCCGGGCTGCTGGTTCTGGGAGTGGACTCTTTTCGCTGTCGTCTTCGCCGCCTTCACTCAATAATTGCGCGGCCGGACAGTTGTTGGCTGTCTCGGTCGACGTCGACGGTGCAACGCGGAAAGGGTTGTGTCTAGGCTGAGCTGTACGGCAACGGGAGCGAGAGGGAGGAGATCCTGTGTGTGAACGGCTGAAGGGTGTTACAATAAAAGGTGCCTCCCGCAACTACCTCATCTCCGACTTGTGTTACACTACACATGTACAGTACGTATTTTGGTTGCTAGGTATGAAACACAATAATTTCATAAGTTATGGTACCTATTCCCTACATTATTCCATTGTTTCGTACGGGATAAATCGCCCCGATTTGCATCACAAAGTCAACATGTACGCTCTTACGGTCCCCTATTCCCGCCGCCAATTAAAATGGAATAGTATTCATAAGGGGGAAAAGTCCCATTATACATCGTTTCGTTATAAGTCCCCTGTACTAATTTTACCGATGCCCCAACCGGGATTTTGAACTCGCAACATTCTGACTGTGGGCTGTGTGCTCTGCGTCCGTGCCACCCTATTGGAAACAAGACAGATGAAACGCTATTGTTGATATTATTACCGCGGCAGGTGGTTGACCAGAGTCTTGAGCTCCTCACACACCAGGTTCACCAGGCCGCTCTTGATGGCGTTGTATGAAACATCGATCATGAAGATGAATGCCGGAGGGTTGGGTGGTTTGTTTTCCTACATGAAAGCAGATCAGAAAAACAAACACGGAAATTCTAGATTTGAAGCTTTCGTGACTGCAAGGATTCATACTCTTAGGTTTTTCGGTAAAGTCACGTAGGTAAAAATAATAAAAAATGAAAATAAATCACTTAAATCATGACGTTTCGGTGGGACCGTCACAGCTACTCACTTGATACAGTAAATTTAGCTGTGACGGTCCCACCTGAAGATGGAGACTTGTGTTGCCTCCGAAACGTCGTGATTTAATTGATTTATATTCATTTTTTATTTTATTTTTATTATTATTTTACCTACGTGACTTTACCGAAAACACGGAAATGTATTAAACTTTGGCATTGCACATCTGTAAAATTAAACCTGCGAAGGCAGCCTTGAAAACAGCACATTTCATCGTCTCTTTGTTCCTGCAACCAACCATCACTACTGTTGCTGTCACAGCTGCCTGCTGTACCTGCTTACCTTGCAATAGTCGACCGTGGCGATGAACTCGTAGGAGCCGAGAGAGAGCTCTGGTCGGTCCCAGTGATCGACGCGTCGTCCCGTGTGGTCCAGATGCTGGAAGTAGTGTTGGGGGACTGTATATACAAAGACAAATACCCCCCGTATAGCCTTAACAAACTGTTGGGGAAAGTGCTGTTAGCGAGTGCCTATGAAGGGTGGCACGGTACATGAGGGGGTGGGTGGCCGGCACGTGCCCAACTCCGACTTTGCCTCCCATAAACACACACACACACAAAGATTCCCCGTATGGCCTTAACAGACTGTTGGGGCAAGCGCTGTGAGTGAGCACCTAAGAAGGCTGGGACCAGCACATGAGTGGGTGGGTAACCAGCACCATGCTCGGCCGTGTTTGTCTCCCCAGTACTGATGTTTACACACCGCACCAGGTACTCGTTTTTATGCTGAGTCAACATTGGGGAGGCCCAGGACATGTTTGGAAATTCATCACTGATGTTGGTTCGTAGAGAAACGTACTAACCACTACATTACCCCACAGTTACATGAGCGCAAATGCACACACACACATGCATACATACATACAAGTGTGCGTACACACATATACTGCATCATGTTTACTTAGTGTGGGTTGAAGGCGGGGAGCATAGGCATCAGGAAATACAATGTGATTATTGTGCCATGGGACGCTTGAGGATTTGTGGTGGTATTAACCCCAATGATGCATTGCAGCCAAATCACCTCCCATGGCAGCATGGTCCCATGGCGAACATACATACACACCTAAACAGACACAAACACACAAACAGACACAAAGATACAAGGGGAAGCAAAGAAACATGCAGACGCACCCTCGGTGACACAGTTGCAGAATCCGCACTGGAAGCGGCGGCCACCCTCAATGAACTGCATGTTGGGACATATGTAGGCTTTGCAGCGGTTACAGCGCACAGGCCCCGTCTCCCCGTGGTCCACGATGTATGGCGGGGTCTGAAGGCACAGAGAAAAGGTCATCATCAATATCATCATTGTGGTCAGTAGAAGCATCATCACTACCATCATTATTACGATTAGTAGCCGCATCGTGATCATAAACAATTTCATCAAATTGATTATTAGCATTGGCAGCAAAGTTGTCGTCATCATCAGCAGCAGGATTGTCTTCATAATAATCATTATCTGCAATTGCACTATCTTCATAAACAGCACTACCAACATAAATTATAATTATTGGCAGGAGCAGCATTGTATCCTTCAAAACCCTTGTCCATCATCATCGTCGTCACTATAAGCTGCAGTAGCATGATCATCATCTGCAACATTGTCCTGCAGCATTGTCCCGACACAAACAGCTTAATCAAAAAGAAACACCATCCTCTTCATGTACAGCATCATCCTTAACAGTATTACTATCAAAGTAAAAACGTCCAAAAAGTGCCCCCCTGCTCAAACCAGCTCATTTGGGGAGCAGCACTCTTCTCTGTTGGCGGCCTGAACCAGGATGAAATATTCCACGTTCTTAGGGCCGGTGAATTTGTCAAATGTCGAAAGAATGGCCACTGTGTACATCACACAAAGCGGTCACCGTTGCACTTCATCCTGGGGAGTTGACGAGCCGAGTCGACCCCCAACCGGAATTTGAACTCGCACCATCAACGCAAGCATGCAGCAGTAAAGCGGAGAAAATTGGGCATTCTGCAATCGACCCGAATAGAGCACCACCGAGTCTATACATAGTGTCATCCTCCCCCCATGCTCACTGGCATCGACCCCACTATAAATAGGATCCGGTTTGCGTCTCGGCAAATACTTCGAATAAATTTTTAACGGCACGCACACGAGCTACATCAAGCTCTCTATTCCAGTGCCAGTGGAGGGGTATTTGCAGTACGTGCCCCTCAAGATCCCTTCTCTGCAACCAACCCTAAGCCACCTCAGAGGGCTATGCCGGTAGGCAGTAATGTTCGGTTCCACGTGCCATTTTCCTTCACCTGCAGTGTTCCCTGCAGATGAATGGAAGACGGCATGCGGAGGGGGGAGATGGACAGAGTGGATGGGAGGAGTGGCTCTGTAGAGGATGGGTGATATTGCAGAGTTGACATGGACCAAAGGGTGTGTGCAAGCGCAATGGACATCAGAGCAGAGAGAACACAACAACCAAGGGTGCGCACACAAGGGAAGCTGTACAAAGGATGCAAGAATGGCAAAAAAATATAAACCCAATTCGCAGTGGGAGTAGGGCAGAACAAATTATTTACAAAGTGCATAGTAAATACTAATGTAGAAAAAGTAGAAATTGTTTTGTTTTCGATGCCAGATCATTCAAACGGTGTTCTCTGCAACAACCACCTACACAGTCCCTTCTCTGATCCTGGCCTTCATGCCCCTTTGACCTACTCATCTCAAGCCTCTGCCAAAAATCTTACGCATGCCCAAGCGGAGACGTCAGGGCTGACGCTCGTCACATTTTCACATGTCCTGACAGGTGCACGTTGACTCGCGTCATGCCAGACGAACGTAGAGGTCGGCATGCGCGCTGCCAGGATGACGACTGAAAATGAATTAACACCGACTACACTACCAGGAGGACGATGTCTGAAAATGAATTAATTCCCAACAACTGATTACTCAAAAGTAATGCAATGTACTATGTTATTTCAGAGCAATGTAATATGACTATTTTAATCTTTTTGAGAGTGATTTTTTTTTATGTTGGGTTAAATTACATTCAAGATAATGGCACTATGCTCAATATAAGCTGTTGTAGCATGAGCCACGTGCACCGACTGCTGCTGTGAACACATGAACACAAGCTGCTGAGATGCATATTTATTACTTTTATCTAATGTATATTTTTAAATCTGAAAATAATAATGATAATAAAAAGTATTCATCTCGCACAAAATAAATATAATTTGAACAAAGCCATAATATGTAATCTGGTTCGTCAATGACTTCCAACAATGAATATAGGCAAAGGAAATTGCATTTGTTACTCAAAACTTAGCTACGCAATACTGACTTACCTACTAACCAACCTAGCCATTCCATTTCCAAATCTACCCAACCTCGTTTGCAATTACTTGCTGACCTACCCGCTAATCTAATTATATATCCATCCTACCAAATTACTCTCCTACCCATCCAAATCCTGACCCACCTTTAACTAATGAGGGTCACAATACCATTAATGAACGAATGTTTTTCCATTATGATAATGGTATAAACGTGTAGGATTAATAAAAAATGTATTCTTACATGCATGACATGTTGCAAGCATTACAATTATAAACATTGTGATCAACCAATTAACAGACCAATCATAACATCACCGCTACCAAAACAACTACTTACAAACAAGAGGAAATTTTCGAATCAATGCTAATTATTCCTGCGAATGTCACATCAAAAGTTCACATTTCACACTTTTTAATAAAATAATAAATATACCATTATTAAACAGACATGAATCTGTTGATCATAGTACTTGACATTGGACTGTGATGTGCTAGGGAACAAAACTAAAAAACAAACGATGGTACCTAAAATAAAATGTCGTGAATGATTTTAATCAACATTCAACTACTCAAAGCACTTGCTAATCGCACATAACTAACAGATTCCTGGCTCGCGACGAAAGGACATCAAAGTCATGCGAAGTGGTGGCGATATTGTTACCAAAACGAACATATCCATTATTAGCCGTTGCCATGCCACTGAGACTGCCTGCTGTGGGGCTAATCTCCCGGCAGTCCCAGAGCCATTTCACACTTCTCCCAAGAGGCAGATGGGCAAGGGATTGTGGCGGAACCACGCAAATAGAGCTCACGTCAGCAGGCTGGATCGCAAGTGCTCGCCGGCGCCCCACAAAAAACAACCGCAGCGCGACAGCGGATGGTGCTCGTCTTTCCATGCCCCTGGCTTAAGTTGTCCTTCAATTAAAACACTTTAAAGCAGATGGATGGATGAATGCGCGTCTGTGTGTTTGTTTTGTGTGTGTGTTGTGCAGTAGAACCACGCGGAGACGAGGAAAAATGCAAGGGCTGTTGCCGTTTATTAAACCACTTTCACACTGGGCATCCTACACTCACACCTGTGCAGGTGCGCTTCTATCGTGGTCCTTAACCCAGACACTTAGTAACTATTAGGATCCTACACCGGCTATCCCTTTGGGCTCTCTCACTCGTCTGCCCGAAGCGGGGTGGAAGCCAACACCGCTCCGCGACGAGGAGAGAGACCCTCTTCCAGCCGATACTTGCTCTGGCCCCCAACGACGACACCACCCCCATCTTGGCCCCCCCCCCCCGACCTTAAGAGCTCTTTGGCCGGCTCCTCCTCTTTCTTGGCACAACCCACTCCCGGCTCCTCCTCTTTCTTGGCACCACCCACTTCTCGCAAGAGCCATCTGAAAGCCCTTACGTAACCCGTTCGCACCTCCTTCTGCTCGCCCACTCATTGGATACCCACAATACTCCTCTACATGTGTATGTAAAGTGTGCATGTGTGGGTCTGTCTACGTGTGACCCTGCGTATGAGTGGCGTGTTTCTGTATGCACACTGCACTAGCAATAGGTGCTTGTTCACAGGACTTAAATTGTATTAAGAAGCAACTGGAGCAATGCACTTTTCAATATAAATTGAAAGCTCATTTCTTTAGAAGTGCTTTTTGTGTTTAGTTTGTTGTCCTTTCCCTGCACCTCCGATGGCACGGGTGGCTATATACGGTGCGAAATAAGTTCAACAAACATCCATAGACATACATACATCTACAAGGATAATTGGGGGATCTTTGTCTTTCCATTGCGTAACAAACCCGGCGACCAGAGTTTGATTCCCGGCCACGGCTAACATCAGTGCCAAGTGATATCTGAACTAGTTCTGGATCTCTCTAGGTCAATTTGGCATTGAAGGGATGACCTGCTAGGGTGTGGGTCAGCAAAGTGGAGAAAAAGTTGATTATAAATGTTGTGGCGCTAGCCTAGCATGTGTGTGATCTGGAGCTTTGGAGGAGACAGTTTTATGGACTACACAGTTGTGAAATCTCTCAAAACTTGCTGGGCTGTGATGTGGCCAGGAGATGGCAGTACATCAAGCGAATCTTTGATCCATTAATGCAAATCATAAAAATGATTTCCCATCACATAAGTGGATTTTATCCAGATTCTAAAATTACTCTCAAAATACAAAACACTCCGTATAATTCAAATTTGTAGACCATATTAATATCGGATCTTCCTGAAAAATATTTAGACTCAGTGAGACATTCCTGGATAAATATGACAATATTATTTTTTATAGGTGCTCACTAACAGTGCTCACTTCCATGAATAAGGCTAAACAGGACATTGTTGTACTGTTTGTATTCTCATGTGTGTAATTCCCACCTATAAATAAAGTCCCAAAAGCGGTACACAAGACACGAGCAGGCAGTCTTCTCCCCTGTGCTACTTTCATGCAGTCTCAACATCGTCAAGGTCTCGGTAAGAAGCATCTGTCCGGCTGTAATCAAAGTGCCAATGGTTAAAAGTGAGTGCTACATGATCGCGCTGTATTGATTTGTGGTGTGCAGCAGGAACTCTCAATTCGGGAGCCACAGGGAACCGCAGAAATCATTACGAGTTTTAAAAGTGCCACGTGGCATTTGAAGGCACAGCAGGGTCCAAATGTCAAGCGCCACTCTTCGTTGTTAGGCTACCTACAGCAAAAGTCGGTGTCATCGTGAATACATTCTGAAGCATTATACGACGCTGCTCACTATTATGTAGTCTGCATCCATTTACGTAGACGTCACCAGTGCACAGATAAGAACTTCTCACCGAGTGATAGTGCTAGGGGTGTAGTGATAGTCTTGGATAATATAGTGATAGTACTGCGTGGTCTAACTTTAGTGCTGGATGGTGTAGCGGTCGTGCTGTATGTTCTAGTGGGAGTACTGGATTGTCTAGCGGCAGTGATGTCTTTTCATGTTAGTTCTGTGTGGTGTAGTGGTAGTGCTTGATGGTGTATTGTTAGTGTTGGATGGTCTAGTGGTAATGCTGGGTATTCTAGGTATATAGTGTTAGGTTGGTCTGGTGGTAATCCTGGATGGTTTCATTGCTGTTGCTAAATTTAAAAAGGCTGCATGTTAAACTTTTTAAGTGAGTGTCTGCATCACGCTGATTTGCATCTGTCCTCTGGTGAGACCGGCCATGCGTTGTGGGTGTTTCCCATAATGAAACTCCGCCATAACCTTTACCTTAACATGAAGTCTATCATGCAAATCTCTCTTTTGCTTTATAAATGGTTTTACTATTATTATATTAATAAACAAGATACAAAGTTGAACTTAGATAGCACCACTCATCGGTTAATAAACTAGATTAAACTTGTTTCCTAAAACCAAAAAAACAAGTACTCAAAGCAGAGAGAGAGAGAGACTCAACTTTTAACACAAATAACATACGGCTCAAAATTAGATTGTCAAATTTACAACCAATGGTCGATCGCCTGGAATTGTAGATGGGCAGGGCTTAAACACAGACTGCGAGATGGTATTTTTAGGATGGCAACAATGCACATTGTTGGTGTTATTTATTCACCGACAGCTGTCATACTTTTACTGCAAACTATAATGCGTATCCTCTAACTTTACTGCATGCATAAAATATAATTCGATTGCAGATTCTCACACTGAAACGGAATTACAAACTTGTGCATTTTCCCTGTGGAGCTGTTCTGGTAGGACATCTTCACATTAAACACAATACATATGAAAAACCTATAGGCGAAAATGTGAATTAAAAATATAACTTGGTATGTTAGCGCTTTCATGGTAGCTAAACTTTGCCACTTTGTGGGAAGTGAACAGTGGTTGTTTTTGGATATATTGGCCCTCCATTATAGGAACTTGGATTCCCATCACTGGCATAGGACCATGAACTGAGACAAGAATATGATTTGTTCAGCCACAAAAGCCTCACCAAGTAGATTTGAAGTTTTCGTGACTGCAGGGATCCATACTCTTTGGTTCTTTCGGTAAAGTCACGTAGGTATGAAATAAAATAAATTAAATCACGACGTTCCGAGCGCAACACAAGTGTCCGTCATCAGGTGGGACAACCACAGCAAGAAACAATTGCTGAAGTGGGCGAAAAGGCTGCTGCCTACAAGAGGCCATCTGATGACGGACGCTTGTGTTGCGCCCGAAATGTCGTGATTTAATTTATTTCATTTTATACCTACGTGACTTTACCGAAAGAACCAAAGAGTACCTCACCAAGCATTCAAAGAAAAACCCTAGCATACGCAGAAACATCACTGAAAATGCCAAAGCCAACCCACGGTTGCTGTACTGCCATATCATGGCCACCTTGCAGTCCAGCAGATTCGGGGGTGTCACAGCACAAAATTATCCCGATGTGTGTGCTGGTGCACCCAGCGAGCAGAGGCAAGAGAACGATGATACATGTGGGTGTGTGTCACCGTGTGGACCTCACCTCTTCAACCGGAAGTGTGGCGAGCGGCTTAATGATGGCGGCGAGGGGTACTTGGGACTGCTTGGCCATCTCAGAGGTGCACGGCAGATTGTACGATGTGCAGCGGATAAACCGTGGGCTCGCATTACCTGGGGATGCATACGAGGGTACATGCATGTAAAAATGCAGACATCTACTTTCAAAGTTTATTAACTTGGTTTACGTACCCACCGACCTGTCCTGGAAAACATTTCCATCCGTCCATCTGCCTATCCATTCTTCCACCTACCACATCCATCTTTCTGTCTGTCCATCTGTGCTTCCATCAGTATGTCAATACATCAACCTATCCGTCTGTGAATCTGTCCATTCATCTGTCAACCTACCTGTGTTTTCCCATCCTTCTGTTTGTCCATCCAACATCCTTTGGCCCACTTGTCTCCATCTGCCTGTAGGCCTTGTCCTGTAAACCACCAGTCTATCCATCGGTTTTTGTCTGTCATTCTATTTAACCATCCATCTACCTTTATATTCATCTGCCCAAGTGGCTGTCCAGCCATCTGTGTATGCACCTGTTTGCCTGCCTATACATCTATTGATTAGCCCATCAATCTGTCCAACAAATCTCCCAGCCTTTCCCTCTCTGTATGTCTGTCCATCTCCACGGCCTTCTGCCCGCCAGTGAGTCCGTACCCTGATCCTTGACGAGGAAGTCGGTGGTGACGAGTGGAGGCACCTGACCACGCACGGACGTGATGTAGGGGTCATTCGAGCGCTGCATCCGATCGTCTTCGATCACCTGGATCTGTGGTGGCAGGAGGACGCACGCACAGCACTAAGTGAGCACAATACCGCATGTGCGCAAGTGATGCATGCTGTGTGCTTACCCCTTGCATGCGAAAGAAGTTCTACATACATTCCTACATGTCTGTGGTGTATGAACCTGTCCCTCACTTCTCCGAGCTCAACTCGCGAGCATGTAAAAGATCCACAAAAAACAACGCAGGCTTTGCCCTGCCAATCGCACGTACAATTGCTAAAGCTACCCAGACACCTGGCTGTTAATGAACATGTGAGATATGTTGGTGGAAAAGCGGGGAGCCAACAGGTGGTGCATCTGCTAGTCATCTCAGTCGGTTAACCCAAAACATCTGGGGTATGTCCGGAGAAGAGCTGCCAGTGACCCTTTGATGAAAATTCCAGGGTTTTAAAATCATCACCAAGCTGAACATGGTGCCAGTTCCTCGTGTCATACTGGCTTAATGACACTTGACCCTACTCTCTGTAAGGATGAGGCAGAGGAGATTTGTCATTGTGTGAGAGTGGACTACAAGTGTGGTAAATGTCGTGAACTCACATTTAAAAGTTCAATAGCAACTGCATTTAAATGAAAACGTGATATGATTTTTTTTTATAAACGCATGCCTAAAAAACCAAGCAGATAAAAATTAATAAATTCACATGGCTGCAAAGGCAAGAACATCCCATTGTATGACGCACAAAGGCCACGACCATGTGCTTGGATTAGATATACTTCTGTGTATAATCAATATTGAGTCTTAAGCTGAGGATAAAATGCATTCAATCGTCCGAGTAAAAATAGTTTTTTGTACTCGAATAAATTGTACATAATTGGTTCATGTGACCCCTGTAGGCACTGGCTGCTGTATATACCACAATGTGAATAAAAAAAGATTCTTGAATCGAATTATAACAATTCATAGAACTGCTGGGAGAGGGTGGGGAGGTGGATTGTTCCACATCTGCCATTGAGGCAAGTGCTATGAGTAAACACATGGGAGGATGTCATCCAGGATTAGATTGTCAAAAGGGCTGAATATGAACATAACAGCATGAGAATATGGTATGGCTAGGGCCATGTATGCCCTGCTGCCTTTGTCTTCCCATTATGTATGCTCACAAGGTACTACAATGGGTACCCATTTTAAGCCTTTGACACACAGGTCATCCAAATTAGTTTAAGATACCTACCATACAGCTCTACATCATAGTCAAGAATTGAGCCGAGGTTGCTGGGATAGCATCACTGAGAACTCAATATCCCTATGCCACCATTCCCTGTTGTATTATTATGGGTGGTCATAAACATTTGAGAACTATCATGATTTACAACCCTTTGTCAATTCACACCAAGATAAAGGCCTCCCCATGCCATGTTGGTCATGGAGAATCTGTGGGTTGGAGGGGTCCAGAATCTGTTCAGATCATGCTCGCCACTAATGTGAGCTGGGGCTGTGAATTGCATATAAGTCGCTGGGTTTATAGCGCAGTTTGTTAACCACAGCACCACCCAGCATGACAAAGCAACCTATATACCTAAATAAAAAAACAGGTCTGGAATTGTACAGTATACTTCTGCTTATTCAGAAATAATTTCTTAATGTGCCAATTGTATAATATAGTTATGTATTTGTTAAATGGCTATCATGACAAAGTATAAGTGCTTCCATCGTCAAAAGAGCAAAAGGGCAATCACCTGATCGGTTGAAGTAACAGGTGAGCCCGTTCGAAAATGTAATACTGCACTCTTAAAACCCTTTGGTCCATGTGTGTTTGTGTACCCACAAAATTATAATTATCCACAATTTCTTCTGGGAATTATTTTTCAAACAGGATACAACCTCTACAGCATACGTGAAGCCACTGAACTGAGGTTCAATTAAATGAGTTATCCTATATTTAGCCTAATGAGGGTTCACTGAGACACAGCTGCCATTTAAGACCATGGTATGTGCAAGTACGTAGGGTCAGTAATTTATGTCTTTTCAGGAAATTGTTACAATTCGTAACTTTGTTTTGACACTAGAGTGCAATGAGTAATTCTATGAATCAGGATTTTACAGATTTCTTACCATCCACCAAAATGTTGGCAGAGATAACGTTGTGCAATCTTTCATTCAAGCACAAACTCAGCTGAACCCTGCTAACTAAACTGAACACATGGAGGGTGATTTGGTTATTGAATATGTAAATTCACATTTATATAGATATTTAAATAACAAAACATACGCAATCCTTTTCAGAATTTAGAACATAACTCCACTCAAGTAATTCCAGTACGGAATTTGCAAGTGACTATGATTTACTCTTTTGAAGTGTATCGTATCATGAAATAGGCATATGTGAATGTTGATATCATATCGGCAAATTTTTGAAAAGCCAGGATTGCAAGCTTGGCTTAACTGTAGTGGATTTCAATTTTAAGCTGCTGGATACCATATAATTTTAAATGCATGTTCTAACCTCAGTTCTTGATGACCTCAATCCAGTCTAGCTTTACACGACTACATGTGAATGCAGAACACTGGACTAGACTCCCTGTGGCCTGAATACTGCAGTGGAAAACCCACTGAGAAACAATTATTAAACAAGGGACACTCCAACTCCAGGTCTGGAAACTAAAACAGATTTCCAAGTCCGATAATTATTTTCTATGGCATTGCGCAAAACATGCATTAAGTTGGCAGTTATAAAATCCATAATGTATTTTGGGAGCCTGGAGCTAAAGATGTTGAGAAAGAGTTGTTTTGAAAAACAATCAACACAAGTTTCACAGGAGCAGAGCAGAAGAATAATCTTTTTAAAGTCACATACAACGAAATACGTTGTCAAAAGTGTCGGCACATCTGCCTATGCACCTGTTGCTTGATAAATCGGAAGAGATTTATTTATTCACGACTTCGCATCTGGGATTTAAGGAAAGTTCACTATATGGAGTCACTCGTGATTCTATTCATGAATAGATGTCTTGGATTGTTTAATTTACTTCCCCCTATAGTGATTCAATTGTGCTATCGGTATCATGTCATGAGATGAACACTTTTCTATTTAATAACCTCGCATGTCGCAGTGCCTCACCCCGTCTCTTTTGCTCTATCTTGTCCCTACTGTGAGTGTTGTTTGTGCCGTGTTTATCATCTCATTCTTACGTGCACGATTTCACATGTATTATGAGCATAACAACACATTCGCATCTACAAATTTCTGAATTGTTACATGCCTAAAAACCAGCCTCCAGAAGGCGAGATGTTAACTACCTCGCCTGATATACAGGATGTTGTGGGTTCGATCCAGACCCTGACGCCTGCTGCTGTATACTTGGGAGTGTGCATGTTCTCCCTGTGGCCGTGTGGATTTTTTTCCGGGTCTTGTAGTTTTTCCCTCCACATTTAGAAACATGTTTTTCGAGTATTTTGGCTGCTATAAATTTCCAAATAAGCCACTTCATTGGGCTATCATTTGTGGCCAGGTCACGTCTAAAAAAAGAGCTATAGAGCTCAATGGACCTGACCTGGTAAAATGAAAAAGTTGAGTTTAGTTAGCAGTAGATTCAAATGACTAACGATAAATAGCGACACGTTATAGTGTGTTCTGTTTAAAATTAGTCTTTGCAAATACAGATTTCCTAGCTCCGTCACCCATGAAAGGTGTGTACCAGTAAGGTATTTTACGGCCCCCTGCCACAAACCATGTGTGTTACTGACATGAAGACATGCCAAAAAAAACTACTCTCATCCTGTAGATATCCATCTAGGCTGAGTGGCCCATACTACCCGAGGGCTGTTTATGAATAAACAGATTTTTAAATGATTCTCAAGTGTGCCACCATAGCACTTTTGGGAATGCCACAAAGTGATGCCACAGCTGCGATATATTAAGATACAACAGTAACACTATCATAACATTAAGCTTAAAACCTGTGCTCGACAGCCTGGGACAGATGGCCTAAGTACATCGTTATCTAAAAGAGATATTTGTTATTTGGGTTGTACATTCAAAAAAAGTGATGCATGTCAATCAAGCAAGACATGAAGTGCCTGCCTGTCTGCCAGGTGACCTCAAGTGCCCCATGCACAATCCGGGTTGGATAGTGTAGGAGTAACAATCAGCAATAACAAAACAGGAAGAAGCAGCAACATGCTACTGCCACGACCAGAATTTTTGGAATTGTTGTGCACCAACTGCAGATTTCGAACAGAACAAAATGGGACATGCGTTGGATGCAAATGCACTTATACAGGGTGGGTAGAAGCCCATTTATAAAAGAAACACTTGAACTCAAATGAGCAATACTAAAGTGGTCTGACCAAAAGTGAAGATTCTTTTGCTTGAATGAACAATAATATGATTCCTCACATAAACGAATAGATACATAAGTAGGAATGTAATGAGTGCCTAGAAGTTTGCATTGATCGTTAAATAATCGATTTAGACTATAACAATGTCTTTTTCATGATACGAAATGCTATCATGAAAAACAAATGAAAGTTTCTCCATACTTAAAGGAGCATCAGGCCCTGAGTCAGTAGTGGAAATTCCACATTCCCATGGCAGGGAACGATCTCTCCATAGGACACCAATTGATGACTTTCCACAAAGTTGTACGTATGCCTCATTCACCCAAAAATAAATTCAAGACTGCTCCAATGGACAGCTTGGGTCATTCAGCATTGTGTACAGATCTGAAAAATAAGAGCTATTTGTTTTTCAGATTGTGTCTTCGTTTAATAAAAGGTGATCCTTCATGCTCTGAAGTGTGGTTCACTGCATATAAATCACCTAAAATGTAAGATTTGTTGTTACATCTCTTAGCTAGATTGGGCCAAATTAAGCAAAAAGCCAAACTTTTATACACTCTACTATGGAGTGATTTGGATTTGGGCTGAGACCATCAACTCATTACACTTCAGGCCAGTTTAATCCGAGGCAGCTGCATGGATGTAAAACCAGGATTCTCTTAGCAGCGCTGGCTTAAGGGGCTCCGGCGATGGAATCATGAACCCTCTTGAGCTACTCGGCCATTTCCACTAGTTGTCATGTATTCAAACACAGCGCTGTCTGCCTGCGTATTCCAGTTGCCAGAAGTATGCATGCCAGGAAGGGTCAAACAGTGTTTCAAACACACACAAGCAAGAGGACGGTGAGAGCTGTTAGGGCAGTGGACGAGACATACGCGAAGGCCATGACGTAAAAATACTCATAACGATCAGAAGCAATTCGTTATCAGCATCAGAATTATTGCTTTTTTAATCACAACACATCAAGTGAGTGAAGGATTATAATTGAATCCTAGATTTGAAGCTTTCGTGACTGCAAGGATTCATATTCTTAGGTTTTTTCGGTAAAGTCACGTAGGTAAAAAATGTAAATTAATAAAAGTAAAATAAAAACAAAATAACATGAAATAATAATATAAAATTTAACTTTAATTAATTTACATTTTTTACCTACGTAACTTTACCGAAAAAACCTAAGAATATGAGAATTGAATCCAACAATAGCAGAAAAGCATAATATTGTTTAATACCAATTGGAAAAAATACAATATCTTTGTTTCTATATATGTTAATTTGAATATAATTCCAATTTGAAGAGATACATTAACCAGAGACCAATCAGTCTCTGTGCATGTTTGCATCTTGCCAAATTTTGAAGTCATTGTATTTTGATGCTAATTACTGTATTCTGCTGCTAAGCCGATAATCCAAAGCAAACCGACATGCACGTATTCACGTAAATTGGTTTGCTTTACAATTCCAGTTTTAAGTCACTGAGCAGCATGAAACCCAGGTTGAAGGATGCCCAGATAGAAATTATGAAATGCACAATTCCTGGATCGAAAACTGAACTGCATTATCGTCTTGCATAATGGCCTATAATATAACAGTGTCCAAAGGTGAATTGGTCCTTTACCACCACATAGGACAAGTTTCATTGTATCATTATTTCATTTTATACAATTCCTAAGTTAAGTTATCCTCAAGGACTATCTCACCTGCAAATTAAATTGTGCAATTAAAAAAATCCATGTCAGACTAAGATAATGACGGTGTTATTGCACAGACATAAAATTGGATTATATTGAAAAGCCCCTTATTGCAAGAGAAATGAAATCTTATCATTTATTTTGTTAAAACAAATTTGAACTATTTTTAATCCATGGCCTTATGTCACGTCAATGTTAAGTCACACCATGCAAGCAGGAAACTTACTGGACTGGGGATAGCATCTGGGTCTATCCTATGCCGCGTTTTCTGTTGGGCCAACGGTTCAGCAAGTCGCTGAACGTGACGCAAAAAAATAAACCAAAATAAATAATAAAAAATATATATCCATTTCCACGCAGCATGGAGGAAACACAAAACAGCAGACACAGGAGAAACAGAGAATGCAACAATGTATCGGATGGAAGAGAGTTGCGCGTGTTAATCAGAATAAAAACGACACTCCTCGCTGAGAGGGGTGGTCTTTAAATCAAACGGCCGCAAGAGGTCTGTTGATTACTTTCCGTCAATTGATGCAATCGCACAATACCACCATGTAAAATGTCATTTAGTTTCAAATATATTTTCGGGAAGCACTCTTACGAATTAAAAAGCTAAATATATATAACAGCAAGACAGCGTTAAGCTCCACACCTACCGGGCTTGGGATGGAGTCAGGGTCAAGACGGCGTGGTCCTGGTGCCTGCTGGGGGCCCGATCCTTGTGGCGCTGGACCGAAGTTTGGCTGCTGAGCGGGGTAGCTGCCATGATAGCCAGGCTGAGGAGCCCGAGGCTGCCCGCCATATGCACCTGAGAAAAAAAAATAGCCCACGAATGCCCAACACGTTACAGTCCGTGATGTTCCCCAGAAACTAAAGTTTTACATTTAACTTTAAAACAAGTGGGGCCCATCAATGTTCAATATCACATTTTCAAAGCAGTGCTGCGACTCATATAATTTCTATGTAGGTTGTGTACACATAGGGATATTTCACCAATGCCATGTGTTTGACATGTGGGAGCAAACCGCTGTGCTTGGAGAAAATCATTGAGCTTATGACTGAGTAACACGTAAAGTTTTGCACAGACAAAATCAATAATCTATTGCCGCAACTTCATAGTGGAAGAATGACTTCTTTCAAGTTAATTTACAATATCCACCCATGACTCAGGGTTGCCATTGTAAATCACTGCCACTCAAATGTTGCTTTGAGCAAAGAGGTGCTTTGTGACCATGACGAACCATTCTGCTGGGGTGGGTATCCGTGCTGGCCTTGTCCAGGCCCACCCTGGGGCTGCATTCCAGGGATGGCTCCTGTGGGCCCAGTGGGGGGCATGGGAGGCATGCCATGGGCACCAGCCATGGGCATAGGAGGGCCCCCATATTGCTGCTGTCCTCCAAGTGAGGTGGGGGGTGGCTGAGCTCCTGCCAAAAACAAGACACCAGCAGATGAAATGTAGGAAAGGTAATACTATAATTAGCATCTTGATAGCATGTTAATTAAATTAAAATAGGAGTGGAAATAGATTAAACCAATACAAAAATACACCATCGCAAAAACTGCATCCCATTCAAGATCAGCACATATTTTCAAGTCCTTCATTTTGTTTCCAAACTATAAGTTTGGATGCAGTAGATGATAAAACGGTATACAGTATATAATTTCATGTTGTGTTGTAATTCCTCACTATGTATGATAACCAGGGTTCAAATGAGAGCCTTGGTTAGAACATTAAGAGCAAGAAATAAAAGAGTTGCCCTTGTTGTTAAATATAGCAATCCTATTATGTCTAGGTCTCCATATAAGGCTGAATGTCAGACAATCATTATTGTCAGTTTGAGCGTCACACCCCACCGTGGACAGATTATTTGGTTTACGGTTATTGGCATGGTACATTTTTAAGTATACAACACGAGACAAAGTGGTTGAGAAATGTATGCGTACACAGCCATTTGAGTGAAACCAACCAACCTATAAACCAATTTAACACGGAGGCTTTTGCGACCAATATCATCCATAAGAGGTTTTTTGGATTAGATCGTGTAAATATATAAATGTGTCGTTAAACCCACCACCACCCGACACAGCCAACTCGTAAGGGTTGTCACGTAAACAGAACATGCCAATTCGTCAAAATCTAACAATCTAATTGTAAATGTTGTGACTTGGCTCTCCAACACACCGGCGTGCTGTACTAGTAACGAATTGGCATGTTCTGTTTACGTGACAACCCTTACTAGTTGGTGGTGGCGGGTTTAACGACACATTTATATATTTATACGCGATCTAACCCAAAAAAACTCTATTATGGACTATTAATCAATTATTGGGAGCCAATATTTCGTTTTTTTCTGCTTGTAAGCATAGACTTTAATATATTTATGTCAAATGGCAAAATTACCTCTCTCTTCGAGAAAATAAAATTACCATCAATACTGTCACATCATAGCCAATTTTTCCTGTGGGATGGAAGATCAACTAAAGTAGTTGCAACAAGCATGCAAATTGTTCCTTTGTTCATCAATGAAAGACACTAAAGGGACTGTAAAAGTTAACTTATACAGAGTTGAGCTTAACACAGTTAACAGCAGTGAGTGGTAAAATTATAAGCACAAACATCCGATTCCAAATTTCCACTAGCACATCCGAGCCGAGCCAAGTCAGCATAGGGCTCTCACGGTACTGGTGGTTTTCTACTTTCACGATGTTACACTGGCTTCCCAGGGCATCTGAATCCGATTCGGGGCCAAGCACGGATAGGAGCAAAGCAAATTACACTCAATGTGTGTGATCTTCTTGGTTCTTTCGGTAAAGTCACGTAGAGTGGAAATAATAAAATAATAAAAATAAAACATAATAAAATAATTCTCACGACGTTTCGGCCACAACGCAAGCAGCCGTCCTCAGGTGGAGAGCAGGTCTGTCGAGTAGACAGTCTGAATTACGTGACTTTACCGAAAGAACCAAGAAGATGAATCCCTGTAGTCACGAAAGCTTTAAATAGAAATGTGTGATGTTAGTCAATACACTTAGGACAGTCACTGCATCGTCTACACGGATTTGGGCTCATAGTGGTAAACTTACCATATGGAGTTGAGCCAGGGGGCCCTTGGAACTGGGTTGCTCCTCCACCCAGTGTCATTGCCCCCATCTGATTGGTCAGCTGCTGAGGTCCTGTCGGAGGACCCGCATTCTGATAGGGTTGCTGTTGCTGATGGGTCGAGAGTGGGGGTCCTGCATTCTGATAGGCCGGCTGATGGGCATTTGGAGGGGGGCCTGCGTTTTGATAGGCTGGCTGATGGGCAGTTGGAGGAGGCCCTGCGTTTTGATAGGCCGGCTGTTGCTGATGTGTCATGGGTGGCCCCGCGTTCTGATAGGCTGGTTGCTGGTTACTTAGGGGTGGTCCTGCATTCTGATATGCCGGCTGCTGGTAGGGTTGCATGGGTGGGGGCGATGCTCCCCCAGGAGGGATGAACCCCTGCGATATGGGAGGTCTGCGGGTACAAAATAAAAAAAGAAAAACAATGACTGTCATTAGCAAAGACAACGTTGTAGCTCAGGTCAGACACAACTTACAGGCAAGAGTCGAGGCGGTTTGCTCCACTGGTGGTGATGGAAACATTCAAGTATAGTTTTGGTGAAAAGTGGGAAAATAAACATTCAACAAGACATGAATCTAGCCAAGAATGCCATCTGCTTCAATGATAATTTCTATTGGCGGTTTTAAATCAGAGATGAAAATCCACTTTTCCATGATGGGGCCCAGTCTCTCAATCGGATGACCACTTTTAGCTTCTGCAGAAACGGTATACAGGTGGAAAATAGTCATGGCTGGAGCAACAAACAATAATTACTGCATATCTGGGATAAAGCTAGGGTATTCAACAACATAAAAACCAAAAACTGTGATTTCATGTTTTTGTTGACAACCACCAATATCACAAAAGACTATCCTCCCTTGAGACAGCAGTAGAAATTGCACATTTACAAAATGGGAGCCAACTTCTCCGTAACAAAGCACTGTTGATTTCCCTCCAAGTAATGCTTATTTCATTGGCTACAGAGAAATGACGACCATACCAAAATGCAAGCCAAATCAAAATATAAAAACTACCTTGCACACGTGTAAATGAAGATGGCACGAGTAAATACCAATGCTCTTCATCTAAGAAATCCTCATCGAGTGTCAAGACTGTTATCAGGCGTGAGTGGCAGCTCACCTTTGCCCGGAGGGCCCGTTCTGAACGTCCCCTTGTGAGAACTGGTTATATCCAGCCTGGGGTCCTGGTGGGGGTGCGGATGGGTCCATGGGCAGTGGAGGGCCCATGCCAGGCTTCATGGCTCCTGTGCAACAACGACACAAGGGATGAGCAACATGACTCACACCGCTTACCATACATACGAGATGTCTAATCGAAAACAAAGTCAGAACTGGTTAGGCGGAGCTGTGAGGTGAAAGCGCTTAACTCACAATCAAAAGGGCGCAAGCTTCCTTATCTTCTTGGTTCTTTCGGTAAAGTCACGTAGAAGGGAAACATTTTTTATTATTCTATTATATTATTTTATTATGTTTTATTTTAATTTTTTTATTATTTCCCTTCTACGTGACTTTACCGAAAGAACCAAGAAGATGAATCCCTGCAGTCACGAAAGTTTTAAATCGAAATTTAAGCTTCCTTATGATAATACGAAATAACTATGTCTTGATTGAACAAGAAAATCTTTACTTACTAAGTCTCAAGACACTTTATTCATCAGTCCTGCATTGCAATGCTTGGACAATTCCATTCATACTTGTGTGGCTTCATGTGCGGAAAAAAAGATGCATCCAGAGAAAGGATAAAACACGCTTGACATCATAAAGACAGATTCTGGAATCCAGTTCTGTACTGCCATCTCCAAGCCACCACACAGCTCAAAGGTAAGCCAGATGTCAGCCCAGCACATCATTCATTCAGGTTCACTAAAATTAATACCCCTCTATGGCAAATCAGTGGCTGTGCTATGAAGAGAAAGACCCTTGCCGTAGGAATGTGAATTTTCCACCCCTGGCTCAGCCCATATAAGAGACGAATGCTGCCTCGAGCTCATTTTTGAATGGAGGCATTATGACTGATAAACTAAAAGCCTACAAGTGTAACTCAAATTATTGAAGGCATACAATCGAGATGACATCCAGAAAATACTCAAGTACTTTTAAGGCACATGAGATTAAAGAGAGAGCAATTTTATAAAATCAAATGGCCAATTATTTGGTACATCAATAGTTCACCCTATGGCCACCCAATGACCTTAATTATGAGCCGTATTGAAAACGTACTTCCAGCGTGAAACTATTAAAAGTTGATGCCCACATAATTAGAGTTGATGAAAATAGGTAAAAACACATTCCTGCGGAGGGAGCTGGTAGGAACGTTGGTTTGCTCGGTCAATGGCCAGGGTCAACGGCGGCGTGGTGTATTCCGCAAATATGCCCGACTGTGAGAGGGCGGGCACAATCCGGCGTGAGTAGGTTAAACGCTGCGTTTTATAAGGGCACCATGGGGTGAGCAGCCCCTCCCCACCCAGCCCCACCCCTCCCACCCAGCCCCACCCCTCCCACCCAGCCCCACCCCTCCCACCCAGCCCCACCCCTCCCACCCAGCCCCACCCCTCCCACCCAGCCCCACCCCTCCCACCCAGCCCCACCCCTCCCACCCAGCCCCACCCCTCCCACCCAGCCCCACCCCTCCCACCCAGCCCCACCCCTCCCACCCCTCCCCACCCCTCCCACCCCTCCCACCCAGCCCCACCCCTCCCACCCAGCCCCACCCCTCCCACCCAGCCCCACCCCTCCCACCCAGCCCCACCCCTCCCACCCAGCCCCACCCCTCCCACCCAGCCCCACCCCTCCCACCCAGCCCCACCCCTCCCACCCAGCCCCACCCCTCCCACCCAGCCCCACCCCTCCCACCCAGCCCCACCCCTCCCACCCAGCCCCACCCCTCCCACCCAGCCCCACCCCTCCCACCCAGCCCCACCCTTCCAACCCACCCTCCCTCCCCACCCAGCCCCTCCCCACCCTCCCTCCCCACCCTCCCCTCTCCACCCAACCCCACCCCTCCCATTTTTGGATGCACGACGGACGAACACAATAAACCCCTGTGGGCTGGTTTAACCAGGAGGTTCCTACCAGTATAACTTTTACACCAAGCCAAATAGCCACTATCTACATAAGCAAAAGAGAGACAAAGATCCTTTATATTGCAATACAGACTGCTGATATCAGTGATGTTATTAAAAAGCAGTGGCATACACAAAAAAAGCTCCCCCGTATAGCTTGAACATACTGTTGGGGCAAGTGCTGTTAGTGAGCACCTATCAAGGCCGGCACGGCACACGAGAGGGTAGGTGGCCAACACCAAGCCTGGCTGTCTTGGTCTCCATAGTGCCAATGTTTACACACCGCACCGAGGGGGAAGCCCACGACCAGTTCAGATAATCGTCACCTCTGTTGGCCGTGAGCGGGAATCAGACCCGGGTCGCCGGGTTTGTAGCGCAGAACACTAACCGCTACACGAACGCTCCCCACTTATACACATGAACACACACGCACGCGAATTCCCATGCACGCACACACGAACGCAAAACCACACACGTGACAATAAAAATCAAATCCGTCCTTCGAAGAGTTCCTTTAATCAAGAGGAAGTAGAAACGCAAACCGCTCCACACTCACCAGATGCCGACACAGGCGGTGGACCCCCATAGCCTTGCTGGGGCGGCCCATTGTGGATGTTCTGTGGGGGGGCTGGGGCCTGCTGGTATTGGGGACCGTAGGGAGCATGATACTGCCCGTAGCCCGACTGGGGAGGCCCATACGCTGGGGCAGACGCGTGTCCTTGCTGATTCATGGCTCAGCACTTGCACATCCCCAGAAGACGTCCACACCTGAAGGAACTATGCCTGCGGGAATACGACAATAGGAACATTTTGTGAGCGCTGGATCATGATTATAAATGCATCAATTCATGCGATCATTCCACATCATAAACACACATGCTTCAAATGGTGATTTCCTTGGCTTAACAAAACACTTAGTCTGACATTCTTGAAATTAAATCCCAAGCAAAATAAACTGTTGTTGTTTAGTAGGCACACACCACAGCAGTGTATCGCAGGCCATCAAACTAAAGTTTTTGAAGCATTAAGAAACGTGTAAAGTCACACTAATGTGACATAAATACGTGTTGACATTGGGCAATCTAGTTTTTTCTGCACCCACACAGGAGTCCCTTCACATCAATTAAAAGTGGGGGAGCACTGGCGGTGCAAGGTGGGGGCCCCTACATGTCAGGCTGTGATGACCGGCGCACGAAGGAGAAAGTGATTATTATTATTATTTTGCTTGATTACCAATAGACATTTCAACTCCTGTTTACCAATATTATACTGACAATGTTTTGCAATTTAATGCAATTGGTTTTCCAATTATGCCTTCCTCCAATCAAAATTCTTGGCCAAATAAATCCTTGACCAAAACCCAACTGAAATCAAAATGAATAAAACTCAATTCAGCTTTCCAGGGTAAATAAACAATTATGGATGGAGATTGACTTAGTCCAATCATACATCCAGCGTCAATTAAAAGTATTTCTCTTATATACAAAAATACTCGAAGAGGCATTAACCAAACATCCAAACCAAGACTATTTCACAAAATCTTCAGATTCAGTGAGGACTTCCTATGTGAATATAAACTCAAATAAACACTTATGGTATTACAAAAGTTTGGGATCTGTACAAGCAAGGGACTATGTACACGTACATAGAACATTTGGCATAGGAAATTAAATTGATTTTTTTTGGCTTCGACATGGGCACACAATGGGCAACTTTGCAAAACATCGTAGTCTTCAAAGTCCACATCACAAGAGATTGCATTTTGGTAACTTGCGGATGGTTGTAGGAATCTGCCCTGAAAGCATGTGCAAACTGGCTCAAGGATGAGCCCACTGTCCATGAGGATATTCAGAAACTTAATTCAATAAAGTACATGTTTGTGTTCATTTATGCCACTACTATCAGCATCTTCATCAAGGTTACCATTCTTGCACAAGCTGTTTAATTGTCAACTCTGTCAGGTGCAAAGGAGTGCTAAATTAGCCACTCAGGTACAGACCACAGAAAACTGCATCATGAGCTGCATAACAGCACTGCTGACTCAGCTGGTTGGGTCGTAAATTAGAGTACAGTTCCTTGGTTGCCAATGCCTACCTTAATGTACCACCAAGTATTGTCACCCCGGAGAAATAATGGGAAGCATCCAACCCTGGCCTAGATTTGAATTCACAAACATATAGCTGCTGACCCTGCTGCTCTACTAAGTGAGGCACATCAGAAATATATTAAGTAACAATACTTCTGTTTATTTTGGACATCGACACAATGTTTTTCATGCTTGTGGTTTGCCATTGTACACTACCATTTTTAAGCTGCTCCTTGTCATAACTATGTCTCCCTGTACATTTTACTTTGCATGAAAACCCACAATGTCTCAATAGGTCCTCTTTATGGTTTAAAAACTACCAATTCGAATAGTAAGCGTAGAAACTAGGCCCCAGGTAGTCCAAAGTTTAGGTGGTGCATTCCAATGGAAACAGCCACTGCAGAAAACTCAAAACATTTTGGCCAAGAGGCACGCATCATATGTGAATAGCACGTGTCGGGGCGACAAAACAAGTCGTTTTTGCCAATGGCAATCGGTGCCAGAGCAGACACACAACTTAACCAAGACACACATTTTTTTAAATACACATTCCCATTCCTGTTCGATGACCACCCTCAGCCACACCTTAAAGCACATTCACCTTTATGTTCGCAGTCATTGCTCAGCTATTAATGTTATATAAAAAAAATGCCATGTCCTACCCTCACTCGCACACTGAAAGACCAAAATGCTCTACAGCGTCATGATGAAACACCTGTGTCACAAGATCCATGGGGAAGTGGCTTAAACCCCTATATTCCAACCTCATCGGCTAGGTTGGACTCCTGATACTCCTCCACGCACAAGACAACATGTATATGGAACAATGGGAACTACAAGGATTCATACTTTGTTTTTTTTTGGTAAAGTCACGTAGGTAAAAAATTAAAATAAATTAAATCACGACGTTTCGGGCACAACACAAGCGTCCTTCTTCAGTTAGGGACAACTTAGCGAAAGCACACCGCTTAAGTGTGTCTGAGAGGTGGCTTTTTTACCTACGTGACTTTACCGAAAAAACCAAAGAGTAATGGGAACTACTTTCTACATGTCTTATTTATGGCAACTCTTTATTAGCGTTGCAGGATGCAATTGCATGAATGACGCTATATACAATTAAATTAAGCAATCATCTCCTTTCTTCGCTACCAGTTTTTGCTAGGAAACTACTGAGCCTCAATAAAGTTTGGATTAAAAAAACCCTAAACATGTGTCCATCCATTATCACCGGATAAATGTGTTCACGGTAAGAATATAAAAACTGCACAATACAACATGACACGTCCACAATACTGTGTACTCCACTCTTCATTAAACTATTACACTATTTATCAAAACTAGGGTTTTGTTAAATTCACTTACTACTATCACTGATGTTTCTCAGGATATAATTTGCGCAAGTTTTTATATTTTTCACAAACCAATATAACGCCGAACCTAAATAAGCAGCCAATAATTTTCTGAAACTTTAAAGAGTAAAGATGATTCATAGAATAGCAAAGCTGTCAATAAAGTCGACAGAAGTGGCTGAAAGGATTTGTAGAGAAAACAAACCCAGAAATGACACGTAGTACATACTTGAGCAGCCCTCAGCATATACAATGATGCATGTGCCCCCTTGATGCAAAGAGCAGAGCTGGGCCATGGCATATACGTGTACATGTCAAGGCAACTGCAATGTTTTAATAGTGCAAGTACAAGGTAAAGGTTAAAGTACGCGCCACTCATAGCGCTGATGCCACCGCGGCGGAGGTGGGGTCTGCGCCATTCAAGAGGGCATCTGTTCCAATCATCCGCGCTGGTCACACAGGGTTACAATGAAAGCTAGTATCCACTCTTTACCGCCCCCCCATAGACTTATCTTAGCAAAATAACACCTGCCAATTCACTTACAATAATGCACCCACAAACAGGCAAAACAAAAACAATTATTCAACTATTTTGGTAGCCTAATTGAGTTGAGTGGGCTAAGTAGGGATATAACAAATTCCCACCTGTCAACTCCCGATGGTAGTTCGATGCATTGTTATAAATCAGGGACACAATTCAAATCAATATTTCAGTGTCTTGCTTACATTTCCCCATTTGTAAATGTTCATGTTTTTCTTTTTCTTTTGTACAATTCTGTCCTTCCATTAGCCTAAATAATCTGAATATAATTGACAAAATTCGAACAAATTTTGACACATGCAATTCAATGCACATAGCGATCTTAAATGTTTCATATCAATTGATTCAAGGATTGTTACACTCATACTAAGTAGCATAGACAGTCAACTATAACAGCTCAATTACTGCCTATTAGTGTACATGCAAACATATTTCCCTATGGAAAAGTCATTGAGATTGATACTTGGTCAAAGTTTTGCCAGTGATCCAATTTGCATTTGGTTAAACTTCATCCACCTGATTCTCATGCATACAATAAATAAAATTAATTGTGAGCATAAGAATACATTATTTTCGAGTCATATATTTTGCATGCAATTAGTTAAAATTACCCCTATAGCTACTGAAGGTGCTATAATTCACTACGTTAAAAACAAAAACCTATTATCAAACTCAATCATGAGCCTGAATTGTGCCAATTTCTTGAATTTTAAAGAGAAAATATCTTTACCAGTGAGTCATTTGTTTGAAATTTCTCTATTAATTTAACCAAGTGTGCACTAAGGTAGTGCACATTAAGAATTTATAATTTACATCATTCATAAGAACAGACTATTTTGTGTCCATGTCACAGCCAAAAAGACAAATTTTAAAATTATACAATTATATTACATAACAAGATCTCATGGAACAAAAATTACATATCTTGAATCTTCAGGAGAGCTCACCTCATATTAAGAAAAGAAAAACCCAACTGGCAGAAATATTAATAACCTATTGGTTGGATAACAGTGGTTAAACATTGCTTTAAATGTGGCTTCAAGATTTAACAATAGAATTGCTTCCAGCTTAAGAAAAAAAATCTTCCAGCTCACAAAGTAAATCCAATACAGCCCACAGCCGCTCAGCATCCAAACCACACACCGCCACTCCAAGCAATGCAGCCTTCATTCCATATCAAGTCCAAAACTACGTAACGTACATCTTAAAACAAAATTTAATACATTTTATTCAAAGCTTATACATACAGTTTGTGCCAGAAACATTGTTAGAAGAAATCAGACTTCAGATATTTGCCAGCACAACTGTGGATTGTTGTTGTTTCACTCGACCAGTCCCACCACAACAACCTGATCATGTGTTAAGACATCACACGTTCTTTAAGGTATTCTCAGCATAAAATGCTCTGGTGTCGGTAGTAATCAACAGTGGCTGTTATGAGAATATGGAATTTCCGCTAATGCTGAGGAGATGAACGCTGTCCCATTGCTCATGTGAGAATCAGAATCTTTATTTATCCTAGAGAAATCCCATGAGCTCTTTTTCACAGATATCCAGAAAAAGGGAGGACTGTTTTTTTTACTCATAGGACTCAAACCTTTGCACCCATGATAATTAGTTTGGCCGCAAATGCACGAGTGGGCTACACAGCTGCCTAAATGATAGTCTGTAATCTCATCATATAAAATGTGTGTCACAAAACATAGCTGCCTAAATGATAGTCTGTAACCTCATCATAAAAAATGTGTGTCACATAGGGCCAAAGTAGCAACTATAGAGAAGAGGCCCTTCCACCAGGGAGCACAGCTGCAGCACTGCCAATTTCCTTACAAGCACTGCTCCCCCCCTTCGTGACGTCTCAGGCAGTGAAGTCTGTACACGTGGCTGCTTGATGTTCTTTGCCGAAGGAGCATTCTACTCTCTACAGAGCTGCTCTCAACCTCGCTTACCCCAACCTACTCACCTCAATCTGGTCTACAATGTGCACATTTTATTTCAACATGCTTACTTTCATCTAAATTCTACACATCTTAATTTGGTCTAAACCCTGCACATTTTAATTTGCTTAAACTGTTAAACCTTGCACATCTTAACCTGCTCCCTTTGATATAAATAACCAGGACTTAACATTTTCTAACCCCCTGCATATCTTAACATGCTCATTTTCATATTATCTAAACCCAGCATCTTTAACTGGTCTAAGCATTTCTTACCTTAACACTCATTATGCCCTAAAAACTGCTCATATTTATCTCGAGCAGCTGTTGAGAAATTGCAGTTGACACTGCAGCAAATGCACACGCTTGAGTTTACTGTTTTGCGAGTTAGCCATTATTATTGTTGGTGTATATCGAGCAATAGCTACCATTAGTATTATATTCCACAACAAAGTAGGGCAACTATGTCTGGCCAACTGACATCACTGCAGTTAATTAAACTATTTCTGAGAGTACAATCCACGTTACGCTAGAAAATACTTTAAGAGCATGCTACGTGGCATTAATATTGACGACACACCAATCCTGATAAGTGTTCGGTTTATGTTGACTTCTTAAGCAAGCCAGTGACATGATTTAGACTTAAGGGCTAGGGTTATGGTTAATACAACGGAGTGGACTTTCTGGGTTAATTACTACAGTTGCCTATGACAAAATCCCCCAAAATGCACCCAATTTCAGATTATGGAAAGCAAACAGGATGGAGTCCGGAGCCTGGTTAGTATGGGAAACAAGCTGAGAAAAACAAACGTTGTAGGCTTGGGCTCTGAGGTGGCCAGGAAATGGCAGTACAGCAATGTATCCGTTAAGCACAGGCTGGGGTCTAGATACAACTTAAAATTATGTTTATGGTTGGGATTATACAATGATAGAAGATTAGGACTGACCTCGCCATCATATTATATTTCAACCAAGCATGCAGACCGCTAACGAACATGAGAAATGCTCCACACATTTGAGCAAGAAGACACTAACTATTGGGTTAGGGATAACATTTTGACTCGACTACAAAGCTATGAATGAAATTTGGGGTCACGTTATGACCTGAGGCAGGATTGTGGTGATATGTTATGGTCAATAGTATATAAGCAATTGGGTTAGAGCAAATTCTTAAGTCAGCCTGTAAAGTGAATCCTCACTGGGCTTGTCGTCCAACAACAAACAGACGTTTCACGTTACACTTCATACAGCCATGCATTAATGGGATACAATTATACTTGTGGTGTTCAGAAAATAACACCGACATAAATTGACAGATCAATGTCCACTACACTTGCACACAACAACAATTAAATATTACAATCAAATTTAATAAAGTCAAATGTATGTACATATTGAACCATCTTTTAAAACTTCATCAACACCATCATCTTAATACCATCTGTATGAATACAATTTAACTAGGCTTTCGCGACAAATATTATCCATGAGGGTTTTTCGTTAAACATACTCTCCAACACACCGGTTTGCCATACTAGTGACATATTGGCATGTTTTGTTTATGTGACAACCCTGACTAATTGGCTGTGTTTGGTGGTGGCAGGTTTAACCATACATTTATAGTTACGCGATCTAATCCAAAAACCTCTATTATGGATATTTGAATAAAGTATACAGTATTAATGACAACTTTGTCATGATGATCATCATAAGCCTGAACCAATTGGCATGACTTGCATCACAACCACGATTAATTATCATTAATATTAAACTCATACTTATCAATATCAGAATTATCACTATAACTATGTATCACAATAATCATCTTGGGCATTATCACTACCAGAAACACAATTACTGCAAATTTCACAACCTATACTATCATAACCACCAATGTAATAATCATCAACACCTTCATTCACCACTACCGTTACCCATAATATTATTTGGGTCGTTACCCATAACTTACATACCATCAGCCATATTCAATCAATCTAATAATCAAATAACAATTAATGAACAATAACGTCATCAAATAACAATATCATTGTCAACACCGTCATATAATCGCCACCATCAAATCATCTCAATAGCAAACATCACTACCACCAAAAACAATCACAGTCAAACACAGAATAACTGTTACCATAAGCACTATCAATTAACTAGTATAAAAAAAATACTACAACAATAATAAAATAACATCCCCACCAAACCAGTTTCGTCACCAACGTCACTATCCCTCTATCAATAAAGATAATTAGCACCGGTTTCATCAACTCCGTAATCACCACCACAACTATCGCATCAACTTTCACCACCACAATAATCACAGCCACCACAACTACAATTATTATCACTTGCCAACGTCAACAGCATCACCACTATCGATTAAGAACACAATGACCACCACCAGCAGCAACATCAAATAAGACCCGCGCCACCATTACATCCGCAACCATCACCACCATCACCAAGCCTTCAACGTCACCACTGCCGGTTTCACATTATTTCCTCCCACATCGCTCCTTTCACAAACTCAACGTGTAAACAACAACATCACCACCAACTAAACAAAACAAACACAAAACTAACAAACAAACCCATCCCGCCACAAGTATTATAACAAACCCGGCCTCCCGTCAGGCAAAGGCCTTTCCCACAGCCACCATCACCATCACAGCCTAAAGAGGCGCACAGCTCCCCGCCGTGTTGAAGAAAACGCGAGGAAACCGAGCTGTAAGAGACGCACTGAACACGATCGAGACGGAGGATATACGGAGTGTGTAGACGATGTGAACTGATGAGAGCCATCACCTGCACGCCCGTGCCGAGCCTATGCAGCCTCGTCGCCCAGCAGAAGCGAGTGCCACGTCTCCCTGGGCCGAGGGCGGGGCCAGAGGTCACGGGGCGTGGTCACAAGACGAGTGGGCGGGGCTAGCGGCCAGCGAGAGGGAGGGGGGGTTGGTGAGGGTGCGAGTGGGCGGGGCTAGCGGCCAGCGAGAGGGAGGGGGGGGTTGGTGAGGGTGCGAGTGGGCGGGGCTACTCGCAAGATAAGTGGGCGGGGCTAGCGGCCAGCGAGAGGGAGGGGGGGGTTGGTGAGGGTGCGAGTGGGCGGGGCTAGCGGCGAGCGAGAGGGAGGGGGGGTTGGTGAGGGTGTGAGCGAGTGGGCGGGGCTAGCGGCCGGCGAGAGGGAGGGGGGGTTGGTGAGGGTGCGAGTGGGCGGGGCAAGCGGCTAGCGAGAGGGAGGGGGGGTTGGTGAGGGTGCGAGTGGGCGGGGCAAGCGGCCAGCGAGAGGGAGGGGGGGTTGGTGAGGGTGCGAGTGGGCGGGGCAAGCGGCTAGCGAGAGGGAGGGGGGTTGGTGAGGGTGCGAGTGGGCGGGGCTAGCGGCCAGCGAGAGGGAGGGGGGGGTTGGTTAGGGTGCGAGTGGGCGGGGCAAGCGGCGAGCGAGAGGGAGGGGGGGTTGGTGAGGGTGCGAGTGGGCGGGGCAAGCGGCCGGCGAGAGGGAGGGGGGGTTGGTGAGGGTGCGAGTGGGCGGGGCTAGCGGCGAGCGAGAGGGAGGGGGGGTTGGTGAGGGTGCGAGCGGGGCGGGGCTACTATGGGGAGACTGCGCATGCGCGTGGTAAACCAACACGTCGGCGCTCGCTGCTGAATCGATTCAGCTTAATTAATGTTGAACAACTTCGCTGTCGATTCCGACATGGGGATTATTACGCGTAAGAATCTGCAATTTCCGACTTATGCTACGTTTGCAGCTTCTTATGCCACTGCAGATCATCCACAATACAGTGTTGTAATATGGATTGCAAAGTACAATAAAGTTGTAGCGCAGGAATCGAATTGTGAAATAAATTATGAAATGGAAACACGACTACGATTCGTGCATCGACGGTGAACCCCGAATTGGACTTTGCTCGAGTTGGTCCACGTGACCTGAAAAGCCGGTGGGGGGGGAGGGGAGAATCGAGTCACGTGATTTATACGGGTGGGCACCACGTGACCGGAACGGCTACCACGTGGCCTGGGGGGCGACGTGAACGTGGTGGGAGGCGGGGCCACGTGATCCGGTTCGGAGCGTCACGTGCACCGCGCGACGTGTCGGGCCCACGTGACCGGACATCAGAATATAATGTTCCTAATTCATATAAAAACGGGGAAAATAAATATAATAAACGTAAACAATATCAGGTTAATTGTAATTTGCGAGTTAATCGCTGTGTCGAGCTGGGTGCCGGATTGACTGAGCGGAAGTTCGATTCACAAGACCATATATGGGTAAAGACGCACCCGATCGGAAATCTGTGATGGGTGATTTCGTCGGGAGCCCGATCCTCTCTCTCCCTTACCTCGCCACTCCCACGTGACGCAAGCGGCCTGCGCGTGCTCGCGGAAGTCACGTGACCCCGGCTTTTTGTGACGTCACGAGGCACGTGGTTTGGAGAGGCGAGCACGTGCGGGCAAGGCAACGTGGTTCATACTCGTCTTCTTGGTTCTTTCGGTGAAGTCACGTAGAATGGAAATAATAAAATAATAAAAATAAAACATAATAAAATAATTTTTATTTCCATTCTACGTGACTTTACCGAAAGAACCAAGAAGACGAATCCCTGCAGTCACGAAAGCTTTAAATCGTGGTTCATACTCTTTGGTTTTTTCGGTAAAGTCACGTAGGTAAAACAATGAATAAAATAAAATAAATGAAAACAACTTAATTAAATCACGACGTTTCGGAGGCAACACAAGCGCTTCCCACCCTTCCCCCAGGAGGGCTCCTGCTGTGAGCTGCTCATCCCCTGCTCCTCACTCACTCTCCAAAACTCATCAAATGTATTCGCACACCTCTTGGCGTCTCACAACTATTACAGCTTAGTACAATACAACTTCTCGCAGTCCTTGACTCTGCAAGCGACTCAACGAATAAGGGTAAATGTAGACTAAAACTTTCAGTGGAAAGCCGGGCTTATATAATCGATAGATGCTGCCCAGTGGTCGAGTGTGTGATGCATCGTGAAAAGTGAGTGTCTGGGTGCGCCCTTGTTTGGTGAGAGAGAGATAGTGAATGGTATTAGGTGAGCAGTGTAAGTTTCATGTTTCATTCATTAGTTATAGCCCTGTGAGCCATGCGGCTCTTGAGTCGGGTGCAACCGCAACAAACACAATATGAACAGAGAACATCTTAAAGCGACGACGTGCAACAGAAACATCCTGGATAAACCAGCAAATCTTCCAGAAAAAAAAACACAAGTTGTCAGTGTGGTGAGTATTAACTCAGACACACTTAAGCGGTGTGCTGTCGCTAAGTTGTCCCCACCTGAAGAAGGACGCTTGTGTTGCGCCCGAAACGTCGTGATTAAATTTATTTTAATTTTTGACCTACGTGACTTTACCGAAAAAAACAAAGAGTATGAATCCTTGCAGTCACGAAAACTTAAAATCTAGAATTATTAACTCAGTGGTGTGTAGTTTGTGGCTTGTAGTGACATGACCAAATGCTGCCATCTAAAACACTGCATGTTACCGCTTTTTAAACTATATAAAGCGCCTTGAGCTAAGGTGCTCTTTAAATATAAAATAAGATAATAAATAATTTGGTATACAGGAAGGTCTTACAAAGAAAATAAAAATTTTCAGGAGGAAGAGTTCTGCAATGGGATGTTTGGCCACGTATTAATGAGTGACATTTGGGAGAAACCCAGGCATGCTGGACATCTGTGAAAAAGACCTTTATAACTCATCGGATTCCTCCAGTATAAATATTCTAATTCTGATACAAGGGGGTAACACTCAAAGCTCTACACATAATCAAGAATCTATTCGTTATATTGCCATCTCAAGGCCACCTCGCAGTCCAATCATATACCATCTGCTAGCCCCACGCAGTATTCCATGTACGCACAATTCAAGTTCCTTGTCTTTTAAAATCCTTCATATTAAGTTGACTTGCTTGCTTGCTTCCGCGCTTACGACCGTGCAAATCTTTCGGTCGTTTTTTAACCAACTTACCGTGATACAATCGAGCTGACGTTTTGCACACAGACTCGTTGTGCGTGACAATTTATTTTCGTGAATTTTTTCCCCCATAATTTTCAACATTTTAGGATTTTTTTTTATATTTAACTACCAATTGCTTAATGGTGGCAGGCACTCATCTGACCCATAGGTGGCAGCCATCTCAAGCCAGAGCGATGCCACGCATATAAAGGATGTATAGTGAAAAACTTTGTTTATACGGGTTAATTTTTTAAAGACTGCCTCCTCCAGGCACCTACAAGTGGAGGTCATGTACACATGATCAGTGCGTGGTCCACCAACCCTACCTTTAAGTCCCTGCACTCCAGGGCAAAGTAGTGGTGCAGCATGGCTGGCATGGACCCTGGTGGAAGCATTTAAATGCAAGCTCCCATCTGCCTTTCCCCCTTTCCCGCTTTGTAGCCTGCCATCTGAGCCCCTCCGTGCCATGGCCCCAATGCAGTGTCTCAAGCCAATTCATTTTAGATTGCATCACACTATAACTTTAAATATATGTCCGCTGTTCGTGAGCATTTTATTTCCATAGCACTTATCAACATTCCAATTGCAATTCGCCACGGCAGCCAAAGCCACCCACCGTGGAACCAACACCGATGTCCTTCCCTCCCATTGCTGTTCCGCCCAGTTCGGCAAATGCTTTCAGCGATAACGGGTGCTCAAATGAAGGGCGAGTGAAGGTCTGTGATGACAGCTGCCGTGTGTTGCATCACACACGCGCGCACGCACACATGCGCTCACTTGTTCTCAACACCTCTGTTACTCATGAACAAAAGCCACGCAAGCTCGGCCCACGCATTGTTATTGGAAACAAAGGCGGGCAATAGAAGCAGAGAGAGAGAGAAGTGATGGGTGAAGTAGTGAGATGAACTCACGAGAGTCGTGTAGAAGTGGATTCTTCAAAACAAGACGCGTGGCTTCAACAAAAAGTTAGAGCGTCGTGGTGCAAGATCCTCGTTTGTGGCTGAGTCAGTGAAGGAAATTCCTCATTCCTACGGCAGGAACCATTTCGAACGGCAATCTCCAGTGAATAAATTTTTATTTTCTTAGGTTTTGTCGGTAAAGTCACGTAGGTAAAACATTAAAATTAATAAAAGTAAAATAAAATAAAAATCACGACGTTTCGGAGGCAACGCAAGATTCCGTCTTCAGGTGGAACCGTCACAGCCACGACACATGAAGACAGAAGCTTGTGTTGCCTCCGAAACGTCGTGATTTTTATTTGTATTTTATTTTACTTTTATTAATTTTAATGTTTTACCTACGTGACTTTACCGAAAAAACCTAAGAATATGAATCCTTGCAATCACGAAAGCTTCAAATCTATAATTAATTTTTATTTGCCACAGAGGTGGGTGTGAGTTTGTGCTGGGTTGACTCCCAACTGGGATTTGCACTCTCAACTTTCTTATTGTAGGATAAGGGGCAATCCATTTAGTACGTACGCATGGGTGGGGGAGTGGGGTTAACCCAAATGCGTACGCTGTCTAACGACAATGTACGCATCGGAAACGGAGGGGGGGGGGGGGTGAAGTCTCGATAACAATTTGTCTACATTAGCCTTCAAATGAGTTCGATAGTCCGGCGGTGGACTATCTGTTTGCTTAAACACGTTAATATTAAATCTTGACTTAAAGCTTTCGTGACTGCAGGAATTCATATTCTTTGGGTCTTTCAGTAAAACAGTAAGATCACGTAGATAGGTTAAAAGAAAATAACAAAACTACGACGTTTCGATCGCAACACAAGCGGTCGTCACCTTTACCACGACACTCTTGACTGGAAGACCCAAAGAACACGTTAATATTATTAATCCTTGATCGTTTCTGCGTGGATTAAATATCGGCTGTTCTATAGGATTCGGGGGGGGGGGTGCGTCATTCGAACGTAGGTGGGGGGGGTAAAAAGTCCGCGTGCGTACAGGGAGGGGGGGGGGTCAAGTTTTGACAGATTTTTGCGTTCTTACTAAATGCTATAAGCAAGTGCCAACCGAATGGATTCTCACTATTCTTGTTTTCTTATCGCAGTACGGTTTTTAAATATTTCTGTGGGGGGAGGGGGAGATGATTAACAGTGTTTATTCTAAGGCAAGTCTGGCTCTGCCATAGGGATATGGATTTCCCAGCATTTGGTCTGTGCCTCTATTAGAGATGAATTGGCAACAACAGTAATTTGACGAGGGAGATGCACTCTTCTTTGACACTGTTGCTGCAAAGTCAATATTGTTGGCATATTGATGTTTCACAAGATTATGTTGTGGAATGTAGAGGTCATCAAAAATGTATTATTTTTATCAGGAAGAATCCGAAAGAATTTAGTTCGATTCACGGTCAGAACATCACACTGAAATACATGGTACTGGTAGTAACCTCCTGGTTACACCAGCCCACAGGGGATTATTCTGCCCGTCCGTCGTGCATCCAAAAATGGGAGGGGTGGGGCTGGGTGGGGAGGGTGGGGAGGGGCTGGGTGGGGAGGGTGGGGCTGGGTGGGGGCTGGGAGGGGTGGGGTTGGGTGTGGAGGGGATGGTCACCCCGTGGTGCCCTTATGAAACTCAACGTTTAACCTACTCACGCCGGCTTGTGCCCGCCCTCACAGTCGGACATATTTGCGGAATACACCACGCCGCCGTTGACTCTGGCCATTGACCGAGCAACCCAACGCTCCTACCAGCTCCCTCCGCAGGAATGTGTTTAAGTGTGATCAAACAACCCCCGTGACTAACACAATGTGGGGAAGCATTCGTCCAGCAATGGATTTGCAAATGGCTGTAAATTATGTTTTATTGTGTATTTCATTGGTATGTGCTTCAAGAGTAATGTCTTCAAGAGTAATGTCTTCAAGAATAATGTCTTCCAGTAGCATGTTATTAAACGAAAATAAATTTACACAAAAGCCAATAATACTACTTTCAATAGAAAATCTATTACAGGAAATGTTTCAGGCAATGGCCCTGATATGTGCTGTAAAGAAGAACCATGTATTTTTATTTTTCAAAGCAATGTTATTGACGCATGTGTTGTGTTTTTTTCTTATTTGTGCTTGTATACCACTATCAAAGCAGTATCAGCAAATAACTTAACAAACAAGGTTGCCTTAGACCAATGCGACCTTAAATGATAGTAATAATACATTTTATTAGGTTTTGCTTGATAAGCCAGTCTACTGGGGGCCCTAATGTTCCTGAAAAGAGCCGTTTGTATACTATTTGAGATGGTACCAAAGAGCAACGCAAAAGCCCAGATATCTTGTTTTAGTGTTTCAGAAAATTATAGCAATATTAGAAAACAGAGAACATTTGCCAAGATAAAGCCTGTTATACCAATGCATGTGCCTTTCACAACAAAGCTGCAAAAAAAACATGAAAAAGGATAGAAGTTTGGAAGGCGGAGAGGTGAGGTCAGGAAAATATTTCCCGCACCTCCAATTATCATGGTTGGCTACGTACTGTGCGAAAGAAGTTCAACATTTCTACTATAATGAGCCAAGAATGTCTGTCTGTGTGTAACGCGCGTGACGTCACTCCACATGCTGCACCCCCCCATTCCCGTCATTAATATTCATGAGCGGGTTGATTTTTACACTCACGCAGAAGAAGGTCGAGCGGAAATATTATTTTTCGCAAATTCGCTTTTAAGTTTGACGTTTTTTTTTTTATTGAAAGCGAATCTAATAAATAAATCTACGCAGCAACAAAGTGGATTTGGTGTCTTTATTGATTTCTTCAGCACTTGAGACAAAAGGTAAGTCTAATTTATGCTTCTACATTATGGTAAAATATAAATTTCTCGGTTATTTTCCAGATATTGTATCGAATTCCAATTTATTTCAACCCCAGCGACCGAAAGCAGAAGATAATAAAGTATCAGAGCAGTGAATTTGAACAAATTGATGGTCAGTTATATACAGTGCTACAGCGACATCAAGTGAAGTGTTTTATGATGTAGTTTTGTGCAAGAATCGCTGCCATTAATACAGTGCTACAGTGAACTGCAGTGAAGTGTTTTATGACATACTTTGTGCAAGATTCACTGCCATTAAATTGACACAAGATAAATAATACTCTGCTCAATTTTTTCGTAAATATTACAGCTTCCGTCCTAGGACGGGCAAATAAACGAGTACATACATACGAGGAGAGAGAATAACACAGCTCAGGATGGAGTGACCATGGCTGATAAGGTTCAGAGACAGCCGATAGCAGCCAGGGCAGCACCAGCGAGTCACGGGGCAATCCTCGGTGCACCCTTCAACATAAACAACACGACATGAAAAATATTGGGTCACAGCAGTGCTTGGCAGCTGTGAATTCGATACTGTACATGTTTCTCAAATTATCTGGCCAGAGAAAATGAAATTCAAATGAATATCTTGAACGTGTCCGTATGAGCCCCAGAGGGCCTTCACACCCTGTATCGTCATAACCAATGCAGGTTTCCAGGGTATAGGGGTGGATGCTGCAAAGGGAGCAGAGATGTGAGTGTGTGTGTGTGTGCCCCAATGAATGTCTTTGATCTTTCCAGCTATGTAGCTTTAATGCACTGGCTGTCACCACCACTGCTTCCGGAAAGGGTATCAAAAAGAACAATTTATCAGCGCCCTCCCCTCTGCAGCCTGCACAACCTTAACCTCTGACCCTGCCCACCCCATCAGCCTCTCTGCCCTCTCTCCATCTTTGAACTCGTATCTAAACATTCGACAGCATTTGCATCCAGAAGCTTGTTCTCCTGACTGTGCAGCAGCGAAACCAATGCGACAAGATATAGAATGCAGAACTTTGTACCCGACATCGCAGACCACCAAACCACATCTCACTTGTATATGTGCAAGGCCCTTTTGTGTGGGCTGTGTGTGGGAGTCATTTGATCATTCTTCACCACTCTGGTCAGTACGGGATGTGACATCAATTATTCAACCTCAGTTGAACTCGTGCTTTGTGCAGTAGTGGTAACTGTCCATAGATAAACAAGGCAATAAAACCTCTGTGCTGGATGTGTGATGACAATTGCACTGCGGTGTTTTTGCCTCGGCCACCCGTCTGATTATTTTCAACTCGTGCTTACCATGTGTTGCCTGGCTCTTGTTAGAGTTCAGTGGTGCATCTATCCGGGTGGGGGGGGGGGGGGTCAGGGTTGGTGGGGCAGAAAAATGGGGGCAATGTACTAGAAGGGCCCAGACACTAACCTAGGAAACAGGAGGTCCCATTTCATTCCTTGCACCAAGACCCATATCAACCACGCAATGCGACTTGGGGTGCTGTTAGCGAGCCACAATGAGGTGGTGGAGACAGTATCATGACCGCCTGGCCACCTTTATCTTCCCACTGCTAATAATTACTGTGGTGCACAAAATATTTCTCATGTTAGTGGGGCCCAGGCTAGATTTGAACACCGTTTGCCACTGGCATTTATCACAGTGAGCAAGTGAACCCAGGCCATCAGGTTTTAATCTCAATATTTGGATGTATGTTGAACTTATTTCACACCGTACGTAGCCCACCGTGCTAAGCGAAGGTGCGAGGGAAGGACAATAAACTAAACACAAAAAGCTATTCTTAAAATAAAATAAATAAATCTAGATTTAAAAGTCTATGGCTTCTGTGGCTTCCTAATATTGGAAGGAAAAGCATGCCAGATGGCCGCATAAGAGCATCTAAAAGCGCTCGATGCAAGTGACTATCTTTGTTCGATGGCCAGCCATAAGCTGATGTGGGGATGACTGGAGTTCGCTTGATGGTTTATGCTCCTTGACGAGATAAGCAAGGTATCGTGGTGCGTTCGTGGCGAGCACTTTGTGTGTAATAAGTATGAACTTATGTTCGAACCACTACACGACAAGACTGGTACAAAAAATACAGAGACTCCTGTGTAGCCACATAGGCTGTTGGGGAAAGGGTTGTAAGAAAGCACCTTTGACAACAGGGATGGTGCACGAGGATATATTGTGTGGCCAGCACCATGCCCGGGCCGTCTTTTGTCGCCGCATTGCTGATGTTTACACGACGCAAGGCACTCATTTAAGGCTGAGTAAACCTAGGGCATGCCCAGGATTGCTCCAGATATTCACCACTGATATCACACATGGCTGTGACTTGAACTTGGGTCACCAGGTTCATAGTGCAGCATGCTGTTACGCCACCGCTCCGCATACAGGCACACTTGCGCGCTCACACACCCTTTGCAAAAAAAACTCACAATGCACTTTCCAGGAGACTGGAGTATGCGTGTTTGAAAAAAAAAAAATCTCCACAGCTTATCGAGCTATTTAAACACCGCCGTGTGCCCGCTGTCCCCGTGAGAGGGAAGGTATTTGTGGACCGCGCGCCCCGTAACGTGAACTTGTCCATGACGTGGGCCCCAAAAGCCACCGCCACCGCCGCCTCTGTTGCCGATGCGGGCAGCCAGCGCCGTGTCCGCCACAGGTTGCTCGTCCGCCACGATCGCGCGGGGGTGAGTTCTCGGCCTCCATTCGTTCGGGACTCACGTTGTCATCGGAGAGCTCAAACGAGGGCCGGAGTGTATCGGTGTTGCTGCATCCAGAGCCAGTGTCCGGTTGGTGCTGCGTCGTGAGCCACCGGGTGTTTACTCGTTAGCCGTGAAATGAAATTGATACGTTCATGTGAGCCCTCTCTTTAAGTTTCCAGCTCTGGTAGCGTAGCTCTGCGGAAAATGTGACCTGCTAAACGCGTAAACTACCTCGATTCAATTTCCGCAGGTGATGGAAATGAGTGAAAATACTCTGTTTTGAGTCTTTTTTACTTCAGTCATTTGCTTTTAATGTTACACGTTTTTATCAAGCACAGTGTCATAAGATACCTTATCAAATTCATTTGCATTGGTTCTAAAATGTTAATCTGGCCAGGTGGCGTTCGTTAAAAGTCAACTTCTTGTCGGGTAATCATCCGGGGTGAATAACACGAGCACTACTTTGTGGGAAGTCAATAGCGGCTATCCCATGAAGAGTCTGTGCCCCCATCATGGCACTGTGGAATTTACACCGTCAATTCAAGGTTATCCCTTTGCTAATTTTAGCAGGAACATACAGAGACTGCAAATTGTATTGTACTCGTAATATACTAAGGCAATCTATGAAAACCGATTTTCATGCTCGCAAAACACGTGCAACTGAACCTTGAGTTCGAAATTTAGTCGTTTAATGTTGATGCAAATTATGTGATAAATATATAAAAATAGTAAAACCAGGTTAAATGACAAACAATACAATCGAGAGAGAGAGAGAGAGTAATAAGTATAACCCGTAAAAACAAAGTTTTTCACTCTAAATCCTTTATATGCGTGGCGGCTAGAGTCCTCTCGTCCCCTGGCTTGAGATGGCTGCCACCTATGGGTCAGATGATTGTCTGCAGTATTAAACAATTGGTAATTAAATATTTAATTTGTTTTTCCTAAACAGTGTAAAATTTTGGGAAAAAATGTTCACGAACATTAATTATCTCGCACAACGAGTCTGTGTGCAAAATGTCAGCTCGATTGGATCACGGGAAGTGGGTTAAAAAACGACTGAAAGGTTTGCACGGTCGTAAGCAAGCAAGCAAGCACGTAAGCGAACTTAATATAAAGGATTTAAAAACGATACGAAAGAGAATCGAATTCTGCTACGGCGAATCATGACAGTTCATCAGATCATTGGAGGATGATTCGTTACTTGTCCAGAATTGCCATGTTTATAATTTCCAGAGTTTGCAGTAGTGAGGCTTAGCATCAATCTGAGAGGTGCCATCCTTTGGTCGGGAATGTTTATCTGGCTCCCATGCATTTTAGTTGAGTTGTGTGCAAATGCATACGCTGTTGTGTGTCACTGTCATCCTAAAGGTGTGTATACATGTATTTGCATTACAATGTTACAATCGTGTTTATATTTCGATGCTCAAGAATGCTATTTAACAGAGGCAGGCAGAATTAGCGGCAACGCATTGGTCAGCGCACTTTAAATCTGAATATGGAGACCAAATTTCAAATCCTGGCCATTGTTAACAACAGTGCCGATTGATATCTGAACTGATGCTGGGCATTTTTTTTATCAACCCTCACTGACCTCAGTAACCGCCACGACCTGCTCGACGGGTAGAGGTCCTCATCCAACAGTGTATTGGCAAATAACTGTCCATGTACTGTGTTTGCACGGGACTTCGTTTTAGCCCAGAGGGAGACCTAAAGCCAGATGCAGTGGGATCCTGTGAGAGCAAAAATTGTAGGTTGGGTGTCGACTGTGCAACTGCTGAATGATCTTGCAGAAGAATGGGATGGGGAGGTGCTGTGGATTCTATGGCATTGGCCACGATGACCTCTTGACTTGACCTTGACTACATGAGCTGTGGGCATCTAAAACCAAAATATGAAGGGGCTCGGGCCACTCGGATGGGCTAATTCCCCATCAGAGCACTGAGCTGGCCCTGCTGAGATCTTTGACATTAATCCGGACAGCCAGCTGTGATTAAACTGCATTCTCAAATGTAGTCATTTAATAGTGTTTGCCATTGACTTACACAAAAAAATTCCATTATATTCAACTTTATTTTTTATTTCATCTGTGCCGGATGAAGGTCTCCCCAAGTCGCCACCATTGTTTAACTTATTACTCGCTTAATTAAACCGATTCAACTTATTTGATAATTTGATTTTCACGCGACAAAAACTTTGCAGGGCATATATAAGAGTTGTGTTTCGAGTGGGGATGAGGAAGCCTGTTGAAATTACTTCTGGAGCAGCACACTGTGACATCTTCTTTCATGGCCAATCACTAACACAAGGCGGTACGCTGCTAGCTGTGCGAGAGTGCCCAATGTGGATTTCTTCATCTTGTGACAGAATGCTCATTAGCATGGCTTGCAATGAGTTTGTAAAAAGACAACAACAAAAATAAAATCCCAAACGCATGACGTAATGATCATGCCGTATGCTCCGTGATGCAGCTGTCGTAGGTACAGGTGGTGGGTGCAGCTACTATTTTATTTTACATGGTAAGGCCCACTGAGCAATATACAAATGTATCTATTTCAGAAGCGACCTGGCCACAAATTATAGCTCAACGAAGTGGCTTATCACGTGGAAATTTGTAGCTGCCAAATACTCTAAACGCATGTTTATAAATGTGGAGAGGAAAACCAGAAGACCCACGGGGAGAGAGACATGCAAACTCCGTATATACCGGCGTTAGGGTCGGGATCCTGACGAGGTAGTTAACATCTCGCCACCGTGGTGCCTGCACCTGGAGCCCATGGGGCAGAGGTGCCTCGGCGCTGCGCTACAAAGAGGAATGGAAAAACTGGACAAGGGGTCCCCATTTCATTTATCGCACCAAGACCCATGTCAAGCACGCTACGCCACCGCGCGTGCTCTTGAATGTTGCTCGTGTGTGTGTGTGTGCGTGTGCCATGTGACTGGCGACAGCAGGGATGGAACGGGTGGTGGTGAGGATCGGAGGCGGCTCGCCCTGGGGCTTCAGGCTGGGGGGCGGCGGAGAGGAACGCAGCCCGCTGCGGGTGCTGAAAGTGAGTGCGACGTACCCCAATGCGTGGCGCACACGGAGCGTTGCAGCATCAGAGACACCAACACACTGCAGTTTTGTGGCACGACAGTCTGAATAGAATTACTGGTAGGGACCTCCTGGTTACACCAGCTCACCGGGGATTATTGTGTCCGTCCGTCCGTCGTGCAGGGAGGGGCTGGGTGGGAAGGGAGGGGCTGGGTGAGGAGGGGCTGGGTGGGGAGGGTGGGGGGGGGGCTGGGTGGGGTGGGGCTGGGTGGGTAGGGTGGGGCTGGGTGGGGAGAGGATGGTCACCCCGTGGTGCCCTTATAAAACTCAACGTTTAACCTACTCACGCCGGCTTGTGGCCGCCCTCACAGTCGGGCATATTTGCGGAATACACCACGCCGCCGTTGACCCTGGCCACTGACCGAGCAACCCAACGTTCCTACCAGCTCCCTCCGCAGGAATGTGTTTGTGAAAAGACGGAGTGATGTTCGTAAAGTGCCGTCGTGACGCACTCGACATTTTTTTCTCCACTAACGAGGCTTCCAACGCGTATCAGACGCATGGCCGAGGTGTATATATCTCTCCAAGATAAGAGGGGAAAAGTGTGTGGCGCAGCAGTTAGCGCACCACACGATGAACCTGACGGCGACGTGAGTTAAAATGCCAACCAAGGCGAGACATCGCTGGCGAGTAATGTCTGAACTGGTCTTCATCGCCTCCCCTTTACCAATAAACAACACCCCCCCCTCAACCCCAACCCACGGCCAGGTCGCCATTGAAAAATAGTTTTGTTTAACCAATGGGGCTACACTCGAAATAAACTGACACACTGCACTGAGTGGCCTTCAGAATCAGAATCTTTATTTATCTCTTGAGGAATCCGATGAGCTATAAAGCTTTTTTGCACAGATGCACAGTCGGGTTGGGTGGGTCAGAAATTTCCAACACAATAGAAAAAGGTGAGCAAGTTACTTATAATAAATACATGAAAATAAATAAAGTATATCAGTACAAATTGCATAAGTACATACAATCCTCCTTTTTTCGTTTAGTTTCTTGTCTTTCCCCCGCACCTCCGATTAGGGTGGTTGGCTACGTACGGTGCGAAAGAAGTTCCACATGCATACAATTCTAGCAGTGGATAGACAAAGAGCTGTCAAGATCTTGCTTCATCTTCTTGGTTCTTTCGGTAAAGTCACGTAGAAGGGAAGTAATAAAATAATATAATATTTTATTTTAATAATATAATATTTTATTTTATACGTTTTATTTTTATTATTTTATTACTTCCCTTCTACGTGACTTTACCGAAAGAACCAAGAAGATGAATCCCTGCAGTCACGAAAGCTTTAAATCGAAATCTTCCCTCATGTTTGGGAGAGCGTTTGATGCTCTCTGCAGGCTGCCTGCGGCCTCGCTGCTGCCGCCCACGTTGTATTAATAGTGGGCGCAGGCGAGCCACCGATGACCTCCAAATGTCTCGCTGCCGATTGTGTTTCAATCAGACATAACGTGCCGCTCACAAACGTTCGGAGAGTGTCACTGCATTTAGCTTTTTGAAGCCTGTTTACACAGCCTCTGGGTAAACACGTCTATCACACACTCTACAGAGTAAAGAGCCTCTTGAGCACCGAAGTTAGGATCCGTTATTGTTACAAACTAATTATTGCAGTTTTATATTTTGAATTTTTTTTCTAATCAATATCACCAATCACTGTCTGCCATCCTCTTTTTAAAAGCATTTGGCGGTGTTCACGTCTGTCGAACCGATAGTGCAAATTCTGTGTTACTGCCACGTGAACCAGTCTCTCCATACTGAATTGACTTCCCACCGTTTTAATGTGTGAACAGTTCTGGACTGTTTCAATTCAAATTGTATCTACGCGTAGGGAATATTTCTCTGACAGCAGAGATGAGGGAGGTGAAGAGCAATTGTAATTCTTGCTGTTATAAATGCCATTTTAAAATATCACATGTGAGTTCGTCTACCTGTTAATTTGTCTTACTCGTTCTTGATTTGAATCTTCCGTGACTGCAGGAATCCATACCATTTGGTTCTTTCGGTAAAGTCACGTAGGTAGAAAATAAAACAAATCACGACGTTTCAGGCGCAATGCAGGCGTCCATCTTACTCGTGTCACGCGTGATGTTATTTGGATTGATTACTAGATATGCACAGTACCAAGTTCTGGTTGTTTATTATGATTCATAAGTCATGTTTATAAAATGTCCTTGAACACCCTGCATCTACCATGTAACGTGCAAAGCCACATTGGCTGTCTCGCCATTGAAAAAGAGATTCTTTAATTAATGGGCCTGACCCGAAATAACCTGACTGACCCTGGCGAGAATTTGAACTCTGATGATGGCAGTGATGATGGTTTATCATTGTGATGGTTGTCTTGGTGGTCGTGGTGGTTGCTGGTGGCGGTGATCACAAGGCTTAAATATTTTACCGGTCACTGGTAGAATGGACGAGGTGACACGTGACCAATACCGTAAAACTCCGTTTTCTGTGGTGAATGGGAAGGGCAGGTGTGGTGTGTACGTTGCTCACGTATTTATTGGGTCGCTGATGCTGATAAACCTGGCTGGAATTAAGCCCTGGGTGGTCTTGGTAGTAATGGTGGTAAAGTAGTGGTGGTTATGTTAGTGATCTTGTAGCACAAGGGTGGGGAACCTTTTTCTGCCAAGGGCCATTTGGATATGTATAACATCATTCGCGGGCCATACAAAATGATCAACTTAAAACTTAGCCTGTTATATTTGGTCAAACGTTTAATTGACTCACCCCTAATGCGATGGCTGGAACTGCGTCTCTTTGGCGAGGCGTGTGATGTTAGCTGCTATTGATGATGTTGCTACTCGCAACTGCTTTTCCAGGTTTGCTCCTAGATTTATTGAATTTCGAGTCCCGCCTGCGGTTGCCTTGGCAGGGCCAGACCAGATGATTTCGCGGGGCCTTATACGGCCCGCGGGCTGGACGTTCCCCACCACTGGTGTAGCAGTTAGCACCTTTCTTCCTGAGTTCAATTCTTGCTCACAGCCACATCAGTGGAAAATAGCTAAACCAGTCCCGTGCCTCTCTTAGGTAGACTCAGCTTTGAAATAGTACCTGGTGAAGTGTGTGTACATGAGTACTGGAGAGACAAAGGTAGCCTGGCATGGTGTTGGGCACACCTCCTTTCTGTGTTTTGTCAAGCTTAATAGGCGCTCACTGGAAACACATCTCTGTTTTGATGTTCGTGTTGGTGATGTTCATGGTAGTAGATGTGGTGTTGGTGATGTTCATGGTAGTAGATGTGGTGTTGGTGATGCATCTGGTGATCATAGTCACGATCGTGGATGTTCTGTCGATGGTTTAGATTGATGGATGTCGTTCCGATTGCGATCACGTGGATGGATGGCTGCATTGTCGTCGATGGCAGCGAACTATTAAGATGGGGATGATGGTCGTGGCAACGACGACGACGACGGTGGTGATGATGATGAGAGACGGTAACGTTGGCGATGTTCACGGTGGATGTCCAGGTGAGGAGGCACAGCCGGGCGTGGCGCGCGGGGCTTCGAGACGGCGACGAGCTGGTGCTCATCAACGGCTACCCGTGCCGCGACGCGACACACTCCCAGGCCGGGCAGCTCATGGAGGCGCGGGCCAGCGCTCTGCTGCTCGTCGTGTCCAGGCAAGCACGGTGCCACACCTGCAGAAGACAAAGACAAAGGTTCCCCTTAACAGACTGGTTGGGGCAAGTGCTGTTAGCGAGCAGAACCCATATGAATGCTGGCACCGCACAAGAGGGAGTGATATTCTTAGGGTTTTTTTCGGTAAAGTCACGTAGGTAAAACATTAAAATTAATAAAAGTAAAATGAAATAAAAATCACGACGTTTCGGAGGCAACTTTTATTAATTTTAATGTTTTACCTACGTGACTTTACCGAAAAAACCTAAGAATATGAATCCTTGCAGTCACGAAAGCTTCAAATCTAGAAGAGGGAGTGAGTTGGCAGCTCCACGCCCAGTGGCGATGTTTACACATCACACACCAGGTTTTCATTGAAAGCTGCTGAGTCGACCTAGGGGAAGCCCAGGACCAGCTCAGGTGGTCGGATTAGTAGCTTTGCGAGCTAACCGCTATGCTACCGCTGCACACACGTACACACTCGCATACATGCACCAGTCTACCTAGGTCACTGTTGCAAATGAGACCCCAGCAAACATGGAAGTTGGGCCAACGTTGAACCAATGGTTACAACCATATGCCTACGTTTGCTCAACGTTGGCATGTTTATTCCCGAGTTCTCAGCTGGGTAAACATACAATCTACTATGCAAATCATTTACATGCCCACAAAAATAAATATCTCCCATATGGCCTCAACAGAATTTGAGGGAAAGTGCTGTTGACCAAGCACCTACGCAGGCCGGCACGGCACGCGGTTGGTCGCTGACTATGCGCCCCGTATTCCTTCGTGATTATTTACTGCAATTTTAGGGGGCCTCGGATACAAAAATTAAATAAATCGCAGAACCTGCCGCCTATGATGTGGAGGCCGACTGCGTCTGTTTGGAGTTGCACATTCCGGGGCAGAAACCTTACACAAGAGCGCCCCAGACAGATCCATTTACCCAGCAGGTATGTGATTTCAACAAAGTTGGCGGCTGTGGTTATGCTGTATATATTTATATATGCGACTTGTGTGTCTGTGTATTTATGTATATATAGGGGAGCGGTACTTTAGCGGTTAGCGTGCTGCGCTATGAACCCAGCGACCCGAGTTCAAATCCCGCTCATGGCCACCAACATCAATGACGATTATTTGAACCAGTCCTGGGTCTCCCCTCGGTCGACTCAGTCTCAAATGAGTGCCCACTGCGGTGTGTAAATATCGCCACTGGGGAGACAAAGGCGGCCGGGCGTGGTGTTGGCCTTCATAGGTGTTCGCTAACAACACTTTCCCTAACATTCTGTTTAGGCTATAAGGGGGATCGTCGTCTTCATATCTCTTGGGTCTCCTTCAGTGTGACTTCACATTTGTACCGTGGATATTTACTCGTGAGAACTAACTGGCTTTGATTTTACGCGAGGCTTATGGGAAAACCTAAACTGCAGCCGCACAAATCGTGGCAGATGCAGATACAGGACTTGATGGGAAAAAAACTCTCCAATGTGTGACGGTGGTGACCCAAAACAGGTCGTGGAACATCTTGCGACTCGATGCTCGATTCACAAACACAAAGGAGGAATAATCACAGCGACATACTCCGCTGCTACTGACGCAATTATCGGGCTCAACCACCACAATGTAAAATGACAGTTCATACTTTGTTTCCTATTGGGTTAGGTCGTGTAAAAACGTGTGTAGTAAACCCTCCTCCACCCCGCGCAGGCAATTCATGAGTGTCACCTGAATCAAACGTGCCAAATTTTACTGGTAGGAACCTCCTGGTTACACCAGCCCACAGGGGGTTATTGTGTCCGTCGTGCAGGGAGGGGCTGGGTGGGGAGGGGAGGGTGGAGAGGGGCTGGGTGGGGAGGGTAGGGCTGGGTGGGGAGGGTGGAGAGGGGAGGGTGGAGAGGGGCTGGGTGGCGAGGGTGGGGTGGGGCTGGGTGGGGAGGGTGGGGAGGGGCTGGGTGGAGTGGGGCTGGATGGGGAGGGGCTGGTCACCCCGTGGTGCCCTTATAAAACTCAACGTTTAACCTACTCACGCCGGCTTGTGCCCGCCCTCACAGTCGGGCATATTTGCGGAATACACCACGCCGCCGTTGACCCTGGCCATTGACCGAGCAACCCAACGTTCCTGCCAGCTCCCTCCGCAGGAATGTGTTTTGGATCTCATCAGCAGTTAGTCTTGTTCGAAATGTTTTATTTCTGCTTCAGCAGCACCACCGGTGGTATCAGTGTTGTCATTGGAAAGTAATCTGGCAACATTGAAATGGCTACGGACGTTTCGCTGGAGATGACTGACCAGTTGTTGACAGGAGCTCGGATCTCGAGTGAAAGCTGACGTATGAAATTAAAGTTACGTTTGTTTTATTGTTATTCAAGAACCCAGAGTACAAAGGAAATTTCAAAGAGGGGGGGGGGGGGGGAAATCTGGGCTCGCTGCCTTACTGCGGTAGGGGTAACAATCAGGAGCAGTATATTTAAAATAAAAAGTTACAGTTGTTGTTCTATGTATGTATGTTGAACTTCTTTCGCACCATACATAGCCAACCGTGCGAATCAGAGGTGTGGGGGAAGGCCAACAAACTAAACACAAAAAGGAGTTCTAAAGAAATTCGTTTTCAATATACAGAAGAAGACGTACAGTCGGCGTCGTACATTCGGCTGACAGTCATTCCAATTACAATGACGTGTGGACTCGTTTGTGGAAGAGATGACAGTTGATGTGCAAAATTAGTGATGGTTTTGGAAGTGTCGACTGAACGTGCATTGGGAGAGGGAGGCAGGGTCCGGAGGGTCGTGAAAGCGGAGACGGAGTGGTGAAATGAGACACGTCGCGATTGGGAAAGGGTTGCAGCTGTGCGGAGTTAGTGGTGGCGATGACTTGACCATTGGGACCTCTCCATCAATCAGTGAATTGGAAATTTGTGATAATGGTGATGTTGATGGAACCATTCCAAACGCACACGTGTGTCCATACATACACGCATGCGTGTGTGTGTGTGTGTACGCGCATGTGTGTATGTGTGTGTGTGTGCATAAGCACGCATGTGTACGTACATAAACACGCACACACAAAACAAAGACATAGATCCCCCGATCGCTTTTAACTTACTGCTGCGGCAAGCCATGTTAGCAAGCAGATATTAAGGCCTCCGTGGAGTCCGAGGAAGTGATGAAGCCAGGGTCACATTTGGCCACTTTTTGTCTCCCTCTTGCCGATGTTCACAAGATAAAGATCCCCCATAAATCTTACACAGGCTGTTGTGACAAGTGCAGTTATCAAGGCTGGCACGGCACACGAAACGTTGGTGTGACCAGCAGCACATCAAGCCACCTTGGTTTCCCATATGATCCTTATGGCGGTACCCCGGGGAATACCAAATAATACAAAATGGGCCGAGGCAATTAAATACTTTATTTCTGGCACCCTATTTTTCCAGGGGTGTACTTAACTCTGCGACTGGGGTACCAATCAATCCGAAATCAGTGCCACACTCCGCGATGTCGAAACGCAGCGAGGATGATTGCGCCGAAACCCTGAACGCTCGTACGTGGCACCGTGGTGGTGCATCGTGTACAGCTCGTCGAGATGAGTCGATTGCCGCATCGCCGACCATCAACAGACTAAAGATGACTGCGTCACGGACATTATGCGAGAGCCGGGGTCCTATTGTACCCCGGGGTACCGCCATAAGCTTCATGTGCTGATGTTTACACCAGGTGCTCGATTAAGTTTGGGTTGACCGAGGGGAGACCGACGAACGGTTCAGGTATTCATGAATGGATATCGAAAGCAGGTCACCAGGTTCATAGAGCAGCTCCATTTGTATATTTAACTTCTTTCGCACCGTACGTAGCCAAGCGTGCTAATCTGAGGTGCGGGGAAAAGACAACAAACTACAGTAGACACAAAAATATATTCTAAAGAAATTAGTTGTGTCCTTGTAGGTAGCCACGCAACATTTCACCGTCCCTCCAAATCGGCGATTTCATTAATGATCACTATTTGGGAGTCACGATTTGATTCCACAATTAAATTTTCGTCTCTTATTTTCACCATCTCATAAAAAAAAAAATCTCTTTTTTCAATCAACAGCGTAAATTTAGCGTAGCATAACATGTGCAAATACTGTCGATTCACTGTAAAACATCGCTTCTAATGCACGGAATTCGATGGCTGTATCTTGTAAGAGTTTGTTTTGATAAATCTATGCATCGTTACATGGGGTATGTTCATGTTTCACGTGGGTAACCAAACGCACACAAAACCGCTCCACACACACGACTCTCGCAGTCTCTTCTTTACCTTTATATTTCGCCTTTAAATAAACCTTCAGTTATTAAACTCTTATTTTTGGTTCTTTCGGTAAAGGCACGTAGAAGGGGAAAAACCCATAAAACAATAGTTTAATATTTTTATTATTTTATTACTTCCCTTCTACGTGACTTTACCGAAAGAACCAAGAATATGAATCCCTGCAGCCACGAACGCTTTAAATAAAAATGTATTAAACTCTGTTGACGGGACGTTTTGTTATCTCTCAATAAGTGTGGTGGTTTGTTTCTGACCACTCCACTTTCCTCTGATATGCCAATTGGTCGTTTATGAAATTGGTCAAACATTATCATGCACTGCATCGCGCCCACTTTCTGTATTGAACGCTCTTCCTTCTGTTATTAGGAAGCCACTGGAGCTGTTTATTTTAAAAAATACTGTAGATTGAAAACTAATTTCTCAAAAATTGCTTTTTGTGTTTAGTTTGTTGTCCTTCCCCCGCACCTCTGATAAGCATGGTTGGCTACATACGGTGCGAAAGAAGTTCAACATACTGTACATGCAGAACCCTTGAGACTTGGCAAGGCTTTCCTGGATAAGTAAATAGCTTTTTTATTTATTATAAACAACACTTTTCGTCATTCCACTGCTGGATGAGGGCCTCGCCACTTTTGAGCGAGTCATCACAATTATTTGACCATAATTCACCACACTGCTCACCGCAGGTTGGTAAAGGTTAAACAAAATATTTTTTGTTCAGCAAATGATTTTACACGTGGCTTTCACACAGAGCACAAGATGCACAAGAAAAATAAGTAATTAAACAATTTGATTGAAATTTTGTATGTATTTGCCTCTGTCAATTTGTGAAGGGGGAGAGAGCTTACAGAAGTTGGAGCATCAAAGTACCAAACAGCAATGGACTTCCCTGCACGGCCCTCTATTGTGTGCCCTGCAGGCCGTATGACAACCTGTTTGTGCTTGGCGTTCAACCCTGCAAAACTTCCGAGGGTCTTTATACTCTTAGTTTTTTCGGTAAAGTCACGTAGGTAAAAAATTAAATAAAAATTAATAAAAAAGAAATATTTATTATTATTTTATTATTATTTTATTTTTATTAATTTTTTTAATTTTTATTTCATTTTTTACCTACGTGCCTTTTTTCCGGAAAACTAAGAGTATGAATCCTTACAGTCACGAAAGCTTCAAATCTAGAATTCCGAGGGTCTGACGAGGGTGGGCAGCAGTCTGGTCGATTGGGTCATAGGCGTCGTTATCACCAACACACGGACACGAGCCCTCTACATCGCGAATGGGCGATCATCGTTAAATACCCTTCGACCGTCCACCTGCATTTTAAAATACATATATTGCTGTTGTTCCTCTTCTTCCCTGTAAATTAACGTGAAGCATTCCTGAGCGTGTGCGCAGGGCCGTTGCTTTGAGAAATCGCCGGCATTGCAAGTATTTATAGGAACGGCCACATCTTCACACGTGCGCGCACGCACATGCTAGGACAGCCTGCGGAGAGAGATTGAGAAAGTGGAGGCAGACGCCCGTAATTCCGTCAAGGTTATTAATAGAAGCTGCTGGGGAGTGCTGGCTTCGGAGTCTGGGTGGCCACGCAAGTGCGTCTAGTGGGAGGGAGAGACAGAGAGAGAGAGACAGAGAGAGGCGATCAACACACGCCACGGCGGACTGAACAGCCGAACGCGAGCGAGGAATCGAACCTCCGTCTCTCGGAAAAGGGTGATCGCCGTCTCTTATTTGTCGCAGTCTCCGTAAGGGCCATGTCCAAAGTTTCCGTGCTGTAAGTATCGTGAGTTGGGCGAGTGGGCGGGCGAGTGAGAGAGCATGTGTGCTCAATGCACAACGGCTCAGCCCTGTGAGCTATTGAGCTACGCTTGGGTTCTTGCTCAGTAACGTTGATGAAAACGCAGATTGCAGCGTCTTGTAAACGGTTCATCCATCGGTCGTGCTATGTGCGGTATTGGAGAGCTCTGTTTGCTCCGACCTGTGGCTCTGCCTCAATGTGGTGATTTCCACCGGGTTTGACCGAACAGCGGTCAACAGTTAAAGTGGCGGCGTGCTCCAGCGAGCAATCATCTTTGGTTCCGGCCCTAACCCGAACCCTACCGAGTAAGCTTCTCACTACTAAGTGGTGCTCATTCATCGACTCTGGGATGATAATGATGCGCTGAGTTGACCTCGTGTTGATCAGGATGTGAATATACTTGTTTTTTTTAATTGTGAGATGAAAACTCTAAACACAGTGTTATGTGGCTGGGAATCCATTTTCAAATCTGTCTTAAGCATGACGATATATGATCTAAATATTATTTGACAGAACAACGAATGTTTGAGGATGCTAAACGCTCTGGTCGTGTCTGTTCCTATGCACGTTTTCCATCCGCGTTCGTCTTAAATCAGTTGACGTCAAAGTCAGAGTGTCTCCCTATTCAAACAAGCTGTGGTAGCCCCGAGTCAAAGGTGGGCATTCCACATTCCTATGGCAGGGCCAGTTTGTCCATAGGATGACTACTGTGCAAACCAAGGGATGTTTTCAATTCCGCTGATCTGTGTAGGGAAGAGAGGAAAAACATATATACCGAATTCCCAGACTCGAGCTCTGTTTACCTGTTTACTTGTTCGTGTACCTGTATGCAGCTTTATATCTGCCGTAGCCTCACCTGTCAATAGACATTGGATCGATACAGTATCTAGATCAGGGATGTGGAACCTCTCCCTTACAGGCGTCGGGGTCAAGATTGAACTCACGACCTCATGTATACCAGGCGAGCAAGTTAACATATTGCCACCGTGGCGCCCATGTCTTTGGCATGGCCGCACGTTTACACACACACACAAGCGTTATCCAATAATAATCCGAAGTAATGAGGGCTCCCCTTTACTGCGTCAATGCGATGCCTGCGGCTGCTTTCCGCTCACCAACGCGTTTATGCGTTGGTGAGCGGGTCTTAGTCTGCGCACTTCAACGTCGGAGTAGCAGATCCACACTCTCCTGAAGCCCTGTGGTCGTGGGTAGCGAACCTCGCCATTGACAACTACAGTAGCTCCTGAACCATATTGGTGCTGCCATCATGCGCACGAATAGATTCAGATGTTTCTGCTGGTGGTGGATAAACATCGTGTGTGGGTTGTTTCGAAGTAGGAGGCCTCATGTGCACTTTTAAAGCTACGTCGAAAACTAATTTCTTTAGAGCTGCTTTTTGTCTTCAGTTTGTCCTCCCCCCGCACCTGCGATTAGCACCGTTGGCTACGTATGGAGCGAAAGGAGTTCAACACGTGTCCAAGTGCCTGTGGCGATCCGGAACAGGGGGCCAAAGGATCCCATCTGGACACCTGGATCTCATTATTCATGACCTCCTGCCAGACACTTTGTCACTACACGTTGTGTGAAAGTAGACACCTAGCTCTGCACAAGCAGATTGCTGATGTCGCCATCTAAGTAGGGAACAGTGGCTGTTGTTGTTGTCATTGTAGTTCTATTTATAAACAGTAAACACTGGCTGAAAACGGCACGAGGCTCATCCATCCAAGTCCTATCCAGGATCAAGCCTGCTTAGATTCTGCACATATGACAAGATTGCGTATGTTCAGTGTGATTTGGTGATAGGCGGTTGCATGTTTAGTTCTTTACACATTTACGTTATCACCGTAGTTGTAGCTATACTTAAGTATGTATGTATGTTCAACTTATTTCGCATTGTACGTAGCCAACCATGCTTTTCGGAGGTGCAGGGGAAGGACAACAAACGAAACACAAAAAGCAGTTCTAAAGAAATCAGTTTTCAATCTATATTTAAACGTGCACAGTTCCAGTGGCTTCCTAATATTGGAAGGAAGAGCATTCCAGACGGCCACAGAAGCGCACCTGAAAGCGCAGCGCGATGCGGTGACCGCCTTGTGTGTGTACGTTATGAGTGTGGGGACAGGAGGAGTCCTTCAAGTTCGCGATTCAATTCCTGTCACCTTTGCCTTTGATGCGCACAGGCAAATCTTCCCACGCGACGGCACCCTGAGCCGTTGCATCGACGGCGCTCACGAGAACCCGCCGCCTCCTCAGCATGAGCCGGCAGTGCACGCCACGGCGTGGCACAGCGACTCCGAGCCTGCAGGGCATGCCACGGCGTGGCACAGCGACCCCGAGCCTACAGGGCACGCCATGGCGTGGCACAGCGACCCTGAACGACTGGCACCGGCAAGTCCGGCTATGGCGTGGTACAGCGACCCCGAGACGGCAGGTCCGGCCACGGCGCGGCACAGCGACCCTGAGCGACTGGCACCGTCAGGTCCGGCTATGGCGTGGTACAGCGACCCTGAGACGGCAGGCCCGGCCACGGCATGGCACAGCGACCCCAAGTCTGCAGGGCACGCCACAGCACGGCACAGCGACCCCGAACCAGCAGGGCACGCCACGGCTCTGCACAGCAACCCAAAGCGACTGGCACCGGCAGGTCTAGATATGGCGTGGTACAGCGACCCCGAGACGGCAGGGCCGGCGACGGCACGGCACAGCGACCCCGAGCCGGCGGGTTCGACCACGGTGTGGCACAGCAACCCTGAGCCGACGCGGTACGCCACGGCGTGGCACAGCGATACCGAGCCAGCAGGGCATGCCAGGGCGCGGCACAATGACCCCAAGCGACCGGTGTCAGCAGCAGGGCTTGCCACAATGTGGCACGGCGACCTCGAGCGGAAAGGGCACGCCACGGCACGGCACGGCGACCCGGAGCCGGCAGGAAAGACCAGGGCGCGGCATGGTGACCCCAAGCGACCGGTGTCAATAGCAGGGCTCGCTACAATGTGGCACGGCGACCTCGAGCGGAAAGGGCACGCCACGGCACGGCACGGTGACCCCGAGCGACCGGCGTCAGCAGTGGCGGACTCCGCGGCCGGGCACGGCGACCCGGAGCCACTGGCACAGGCGGCCGTCCCGCCCCCCGTCACCCGCGTGTACGTGTCGCCCTGCAACGAGGTGACGGACCTGGGCCGCGTACGCGAGCGCAAGGCCCGCGCCATCACCAATTCCGACCCTGCGCGCGTCGCACGTTGCAATGCCAGCTATGTGCAGAAGGGCATCGTGTGCAGCCTTGGACCGCCAGAGGGGATCGTGGGAGCGTGCGCCTTGGCGAGCGCTTTGCCTGTCTCGCCAGCGCCGGCGGAGGGGAACGGCGAGCCGAGCGAGACGGTGCGCGCCTCCGCCAGCGCCGCTGCCAGCACCATCGCGGCGGCGCCCCCGCTCTCCATATCGCTGCCTCCGACGGAGGTCCGTAGGGAAAGGACCGTCCGTAAAGCGACGCAGAGCAGCCGCCTGTACTCTGCTCACGCCGGCGAGTGGCCAGATGGAGCGTTTGTGGAGGATGCCTCCACAGACCAATGGGCTGGAGGAGATGGAAATGGAGAGACTGTTGGAGGTTACGGCGGCGGTGGTGGTAATGGTGGTGGTACCGGCGGTGGTGGTAATGGTGGCGGTACCGGCGGTGGTGGTAATGGTGGCGGTACTGGCAGTGGTGGTAATGGTGGCGGTACTGGCAGTGGTGGTAATGGTGGTGGTACTGGCAGTGGTGGTAATGGTGGTGGTGTCGGAAGCAATGGAGTTGGAGGTGGCGACGTCCCCGTGGTGTTGACGTCGGCCGCCGACATCAACCTGATCGCGATGTCGCTCGCTTGCGAAGAGCTGTGCGAGGAAGAGGTGGGGCCGGCGGAATCGGCGGCGGTAACGACAACGGCGGTGGTGGCGGCGGCGGTGGCAGCGGCGGCCTCACAGCTGGATCAGCCGGGGGAGGTCAACGAGGTAGGACGCACGTGACGTGTGGTGTCGGGACAACGTGCCCGCATGGGCCTGCATCGAACGACGTGGGCGCTGAGCGAAAGGAGGAGGAGCAGGTGAAGGTGGCCGGTGCCGGTGGCAGTGCAAGTGGAGGAGGAGGAAGGGGGTGCGACCGACGAGGATGCAGGGTCTCTCCCGATACGGTGGTGCCGTGCCTATGTTGGGGCCTGTGGAGGACTGCGCATCGGAAGAACTCACCACGACGTACAGAGAGCGGGCGAAGCAAGCGAGTAAGTGCTCTCTTTCTCTCCTTGGCCATCCTTGTAGTTAGTGTTTAAGGTGGGAGAAGAGTGTGTGTGATGTGGGGAGTGGTGGCCTAGCAGTTAGCGCGCTATGCTATAAACCCGGTGACCCAAGTTGGATTCTTGCTCACGGCCAACACCAGTGACGATTCTGGGCCTGCCAAAAGTAGCCGTAAATTAGTACCTGGTGCGGTGTGTAAACATCAGCACTTGGGAGACAAGAGCAACCGGGCGAGGTTATAGCTACACCACCCCACGTGGTCCATCCCGGACTTCATTGGTGCTCGCTAACAGCACTTGCTCCAAAAGCATGTTAAAACTATACAGGGGATCTTTGTCTTGTTACATCATGACTCAGAGAGCTGAACTATTACAAAGCAACTGCAAAATAAACATGGCTTTTGAATGTAGATGCATGGAAATGCAAGGAGAGGGTAAGCAATTTGGAAGTTTGTAATAGACCTTGCCAAAAAGTGTTGCAAGTGTAATTGGTGGGACATGTGTGCAGGATGGAAGATAGGTGAAGGGCAGGATGTGACGGCATCTCAGGGCATTGGCCGTAATGACCTCTTGACCTTGTTGGTTTTACACCACGTATTGAACAGTTGGTGCATCTGCATTGTGTTGTGTAGGATGACAGCGCGCGCTGCGTGTGGTTGTCACATGCGGTGCCTGAAGAAAACCGACAATGTTGACGATGCAGCCCATTTGTCATTGCGTTTGATAGATTGCGTGAGTGGTTAGCGCATTGATGCATCCTCCATGTTTTACCGTAACCAGGGATTCATCTCTCATTGTATATTTTTGGGGTTGCTTGGAGACTGAGTACACGCGTGACGAGTTGCCATTGTCCATAGTGAGTGATACACTGGATGCGATGTGCCGGGTGCGTAACATATTTTCCAGGTGTCCAATCCGGACAGACCCGGTTGAAATGGGATCTTGATTATAACAATGCAATGTGCTGAGATCCATGGAATCGTGTGGGTGTCAGGTGCAGTGTGCTGCCAGATGACCCATAATGTCCTTCTTCTGTAATTTGTACAGCAAAACTATTTAAATTATAGTGTTCAGCTGTAGCAAGACAACAGCAGTCGAACTGTGGAGAGGCTGGCCCTGCCATGCAAATGTGGAAATTCCACCACTGGTTCAGGGGTGCTTTGGCCAGAGGCACGTCTAAATTTACAAGTTAAACTAATTATTTGGTGATGCTGCTGCTATGTTGCCAGTGGTGCACAAGCATTAATAGCACACACAAAATCAACACATTTGTCAGTAATACTGCCTTAAAAGGAAAAATATATAATAGGCGACATTTCTGAAAATGCCTCTATGTACTACGAAGAAGGGCCACTGCCTGAAATGTTGGCATTTACACACACGTGTTGTTGACGGATGGGAGCACAGAAGTACAGTTCAACAATGTGTATTTCTACACTGTCCTCTGCTGCCCACCACATATCCCCGCAGCACTACGACTTCCTGTTGGGCATGGTGGTCACCCATTCAAGCACTATCCATGCTTAAACCGGCTTAGCTTCCTAATTCTGTCAGGATCAGGAAAACTGTGGTGATTTGGTTGTAGGTATATATCTTGATTTGAAGCTTTCGTGACAGCAGGAATCCATACTCTTTGGTTCTTTCGGTAAAGTCACGTAGGTAGAAAATAAAAATAAATCACGACGTTTCGGGCGCAACACAAGCGTCCGTCATCAGGTGGGAAAGCATGGTCTGCTGCTGAGGTAGACAGTCTGCCTCCTGATGACGGACGCTTGTGTTGTGCCCGAAACGTCGTGGTTTATTTTTTATTTTACACCTACGTGACTTTACCGAAAGAACCAAAGAGTATGTAGGTATATATATATATAAAGTCCACACCCTATTGTGATATCCAGCTGAGTGGTGCTCTGCTCAAGAGTGATTGACTCAAAAAGCAGAAGGTTGCAAGTTCAGTCCCCAGTTAGAGATGAGTGCCACTTTGTATGAAATGTCACAGTGGTCCTCCTCTGGATAGACAGACCATGGCATTGTCATGTGAAATTTACACCACTGGCACAGGGCAAACAGAGGAGATGAGTGCCTCATTTGAGCAGGGATACACGTTAACATGACCAGTGTAATCATAGTGATGTACACCCTTTTGTCAATCTACTGCTGGATGAAGGCCTCTTTGTGCCATGTCACTTGTGGGGGTGTTATATCGATGGGACCTTTTTGCCTGTATTTTTTTTCATCATTGTGGTTATAGATTGATCATACTTCACCATACTGATCAGTGTGGGTTGGTGAAGAGGGGTGGGGGGAGCCAGGACCTGGTTTGGAAATCACCTGCCATTGATGTTAGCCATGGCCCGGAATCGAACTTTGGTGGCCAGGTTCATCGTGCAATGCGCGAACCACTTCCACCATTGCTCCATCACGAAAATTGTAATACAAGCACAATTCTATCTCCATTTGAAAAACTATATAAAAGGCTCTTGAATTTCCCGAGAATAAACTGCAAGTGAATACAGTTGAAGTTCGATATAAGCACACCTTATATAAGCAAACATTATTACTGGTAGGAACCTGGTTACACCAGCCCACAGGGGATTATTGTGTCCGTCCGTCGTGCAGGGAAGTGCTGGGTGGGGAGGGTGGGGCTGGGTGGGGAGGGTGGGGAGGGGCTAGGTGAGGAGTGTGGGGAGGGGCTGGGTGGGGAGGGTGAGGCTGGGTGGGGCGTGGGAGAGGTGGGGCTGGGTGGGGAGGGGCTGGTCACCCCGTGGTGCCCTTATAAAACTCAACGTTTAACCTACTCACGCCGGCTTGTGCCCGCCCTCACAGTCGGGCATATTTGCGGAATACACCACGCCGCCGTTGACCCTGGCCATTGACCGAGCAATCCAACGTTCCTACCAGCTCCCTCCGCAGGAATGTGTTTGGTGATACACGTATTGCGTTGGCAGTGATTCACAAGCACAAATAAAAACAAATTCAACAGACTCGTCACTTTGCCTCTCTGTGCTGTGAAGAAGGGCCATTTGCTCGAGACGTGACCTATTATATTATGTTTCCTTTTAAGGTCACACAGTGTTATTGACGAATATGTTTTTTTTTAGCACAACTGTTATCCTGCTCATTGGGAGAAGGGGGGAATGGAACAGGACATTTCTGATATATCCAGCTTCTGCTGAAGCTGTAACCATTCGTTCTATAATAATATAATAGCGTTTGCATTTATACTGCACCCATAGCGTAACGAAACATCTCAAATTGCAGTTTTTCAGCCGAGGGGACCCCTTGCCATCCTGTGACGTCGTTCGAAATTGAGTAGGCCACGCTTGCCGGTACCAAGGTCCGAATTCGCAAAATGTGACATAATAACGACTCAAAATGACTTCATTCGATTAAGCAAGAGCGTCATCGCAAGTCCCCAAAGGGAGCCCTCCCAATCTCAGCGGCCCCTCACATTGGTTACGTGAATGACGCCGAATTGATTGTGTTGTACCATAGGTACGCGCGATCGTATATACAGACACCGCGCGGACGTGATTTTGTTACGCGCTATACCGCAGTGCAAGGCCGTAGCCATGGAGTCAACATTGGGGGGGACCAAATCTTCCAGGGGGTCTGGAGGTCCCCCCCCAGAAAAAAAAAAAATCGAAATTTGAAGACGAATTTCCTGCCATTTCCTGCCTAAAACATTTTAAAAAATTCAATTGCACATAGGATGGATATTTTATTTATTTTTTACAATAATGTCTAATAGTGTATTGTATTACATTGCTCTGTTTTAACTTTTTTTTTTACCATTTCTTGTTTCATTGTATGTAATGGCGGAGATTAGGGATTAATAAAGTACAACCATAACCACAATCATATAAACAGAAATCTATGCATTGATTTATATGAAGACCAGTCCAGATATTGTGGCAAAGATTTAGCAAATTGTTATTTTTATTTACATAGCAAAGCAATTATTTTTTATAGCAATATTTTGGGGGACATTTTGAGCATATTTGAATTGGGGGGGGGGGATGTGTCCCCCCCAATATATATTATAATTACAGCCTTGCGGCAGTGCGCTGTGATATGCGGCGCGACTATCGGGCCTTGCGGCGCCCCAGAGTTCCTGCCGTCTTGGGTTTCGCATTCCAGCGCCGTGGCTTTTCTCGTCTCCCAACGGAAGAGCGCAGCTGCAACGTGCATTTTGGTGATGGTTGAGCATGCGGGGCGTGCTCAACGTGGCGATCCACAGCAAGCCGGGAGCATGCCTTGTGTGAAACCAGGACAGCGGCGGCAGTGCCCTGCGGGCGATGATAGCCTGAGCTGTTTATTTATTTATTGTTTTTTTGTTTTTGTTGTTGACAAGAGTCGAGTAAAAGGCACGAACCCTAACAAGGGTAGCAAGAGCAGTTGATGCGAATGCTGTCACAAGAGGTGACACGTTTGGTGCAACTGTCATTCGCTGAGTATGGGTGATGAATGGAATGCAACAACGGCATGCTTCTTCTTGGTTCTTGGTTCTTTCGGTAAAGTCACGTAGAAGGGAAATAATAAAATAATAAAAATTAAACATAATAAAATACAATTCTCACGACGTTTCGGCCACAACGCAAGCGTTTTATTATTTCACTTCTACGTGACTTTACCGAAAGAACCAAGAAGATGAATCCCTGCAGTCTCGATAGCTTTAAATCGAAATTTAACGGCATGCTTCTTTCTCTCACCTGAAGACGATCGCTTGCTGTTGCGATCGAAACGTCGTGATCTATTATTTATTTTACTATCTACGTGACTTTTCCAGAAAGAACCAAAGAGTATGAATTATTGCAGTCACGAAAGCTTCAAATCAAGAAGGGAGTGGGTTACAGAATTCTGCGGACTGAAGTCCAAACTCATTGCTCCTGGGTTCTGGGATGGGGAAAAGGTTGGGTTCGCTGCGTCTACGGGCGTCTGAGCTCATTGATGTTGCAGCAAATTCGGCATATCCTCTCCCCATGAGCGTC